ATGCCAGGTTACAAATATATATGACAGCGCATGAGGAGTTAGGCCCGCGGCATAGGACTAACCCGATCTGCAATGTCAACAGGTTACACACATGATAGATATAAACAGGTTTAAGTACTTGTAAAAATCTTATTAAGTGTAGATTTTATATACCAGTTCAATGCACGCTTTGTGGTTCCCAGATACCACACGTTGTTGTTTTCAACATTGTTGCATGAACTGAAAAATGGTTTAAAGGGAACCGTTGTAAATTGCGTTGGACATAGATATTTAAGATTTTCGAGTAATATATGTAAGGTCAGCAGAGTTGATTTCACACTATACGCTAGCGTACACTCTAGTTTCAAGACATTTAAAACAACACCATTTAAGGGAGGCGTAGCGTTTATTCCTTCTTTGAAGGTAAACGCTGTACGATATAATAATAAAAATAATAATAACACACGGGGTTCTCTGTCCTTGATCATCAGTCTCAGGTTAAAGTGTAGTACGGGCACCATTGTTAATTGGGCAATTCACTATTTGCATGAAGGGTCACTCTTTCTGACTTTCCCTTTAACAACCAAACTTAAACTTAATGTACTTTGTTTTCATCTTAAAGCAAAAAAGTTCTGTTTACTTTATAATAACACGAACACTTTGTTTAACTAATTCTTATTTTATTTCAGATATCATCTTGTTGCTGCAGATTTCTCAAATAAAGAAAATTTAAAAGAAAAACTGGAAGAAAGCGAGGTAGTAGAATATATTTAATTTTTTCTCGTAAACCCTTGGAGTCCCATGGATACTTACTTACTTGGATTGTGCACGCTAAGAGAGCCGGCTACATGGATAGCCATGTTTAGAGGCTCGTGGGCTTTGGTTGGTCATAAACATTTAGGTATGTTTATAGATCTCATAATATCTTGTTTTAAAACTGTTCAGAGTTTTTGCAGATCATACAATGTCAGGGTTATCATTCCAAAGTCAAGTTAATTCAAATGTTTTTAAATCGTCCTAGAATTCAACCAAATCAGATCTTTAACTGATGAAAATTTCAGTTGTAAACCTTTTTTAGTTTTTAAAGCTTTAAAGCTTTTTTTTCGGAATGTCTTAAATTATAACTAATCTTTTCAATTTTTTGAATTCATTAATTTATTTCAAACATTTATTTTTTGTTCTCTATCCTTTATTTAAATGAACACACTGTTTGTTTCCTTACTATCCTATGCTCAAACCTAGGTAGATAATATTTGGTACTTTTGCCTGACAGCTCATAGAATGTTCTTGCCTGGTTCATTGGATCCATAATATTTGGTACTTTTGCCTGACAGTTCATAGAATGTTCTTGCCTGGTTCATTGGATCCATAATATTTGGTACTTTTGCCTGACAGCTCATAGAATGTTCTTGTCTGGTTCATTGGATCCATAAACCAGATTCTTATTTCAAAATAGAACTGGGATATATATATATTGCAGTAATCCGTCCACAGGCTGATGATGAAGGATTCTTCTATGGCCAACTACGAAAGTAGAACCTATCCATTTCAAGATCTTTGTCTTGCGGAATCCGTATAAATCTGCTCATCTACATAATAAACAAGACATATATATGTTGCGTATAGCCGGCCAAATGGCTGGACCTATTGGGCTGAAATTTTTTGTGGCCACCCATGGATGGCCGGGAGGTGATATAGACTTAAAAAAAATAGAAAATATTTTTTTCAAATTTTTTTTCCACTTTTTTTATTTAGTAAAACAAGACATTCGTATATATGTTGCGTATAGCCGGCCAAACGGCAGGAACGATTGGACTGACATTTTTTGTGGACACTCATAGGTGTTAAAGGCTAAAAAAATAAACATTTTTAAAACATTTAAAAAAAATGTTCCACGGGCAACTCTGGGCCCTTCAGCTAGTGATCAATAATATTTTAATTGTTTATTTTTTAAAGCTTTGAAGCATAGATTGCTTCAAGCTCAATTGTGAATATCGAGTTCAGACGTTCTAGATGAGCGCTATTAAAAGTTCTTACCTCAAAAATTAAAATTACAATATATAAACGATTGGAAGAAAAATCGCTGTTTTATTAGTTCACGTTAACTGGTGTTCACTGTGCAGTATTTCTTGGTTGAACTGTACTGTAGGTTGATAACTAGTGTATACACTATTTAAATTGTACTGTAGGTTGATTACCAGTGTCCAACTCTAGTGATGGCGGAGTGTGCACTTGTGTACGCAGACAGTGCTAAGGTATATTTAATTATTCTATTTACACTTTCTAGATCTGACACAATTTATCCTCTGGCAAAGTCAACAAAATTTATCAAATCAAGTTTAGATTTGAAATTCTGAAAAGTTCAATATTCCTTGATTCTTTGATGCAAATTGTTAGAAAATTCAATATTGTGTGGTTCACCATGTAAGTTTTGGTTAATCGATATAAACCTTGATGGTTCACCCTGTAAATCTAGGTAAATAAAATAAAACTCGATGAGATGTGGTTCACCCAGTACTTAAATATGTAGATCACCTTATCTAGGTTTATTTAATTTATCTTTTGTGGTGTGGTATACCCTCTACATCTAGGTTGATCAAAACAAACCTCCATGTATTATGGTTCACCCTGTATATCTAGGTTGATAATAATAAACCTCCATGTATTATGGTTCACCCTTATATCTAGGTTGATCAAAACAAACCTCCATGTATTATGGTTCACCCTGTATATCTAGGTTGATAATAATAAACCTACATGTATTTTGATTCACCCTGTATATCTAGGTTGATCAAAACAAACCTCCATGTATTATGGTTCACCCTGTATGTCTAGGTTGATAATAATAAACCTCCATGTATTATGGTTCACCCTGTATATCTAGGTTGATAATAATAAACCTCCATGTATTATGGTTCACCCTGTATATCTAGGTTGATCAAAATAAACCTCCATGTATTATGGTTCACCCTGTATGTCAAGGTTGATCAAAATAAACCTCCATGTATTATGGTTCACCCTGTATATCTAGGTTGATAAAATTAAATTAAACATCTATGTATTATGGTTCACCCTGTATATCCAGGTTGATCAAATGCTTGAGTTTCTCTCCTCATCCTTCTCTAGTATTGCATTCATCAACTACGAACAGTTGAATATGAACGACAGGTAGATATATACAAAGATAGATATTTCTAACGACAGGGAGACATTTACAAAGATAGATATTTCTAACGGCAGGTAAACACAATGATTGATATTTCTAACGACAAGCAAATGCAAAGATTGATATTTCTTACGACAGGAAGATACAATGATTGACATTTTTAACGACAGGTGAATACAGTGATAGATATCTCTAACTACAGGTAGATACAAGGATTGATATTTCTCACGACATGCAGATACAAAAATTAATATCTCCAACGACAGGTAGATACAATAATTTATATTTCTAAAGAGTGGTAGATACAAAGATTGATATTTCTAAAGTTAGGTAGATACAATGAATGATATTTCAAACAACGACAGGTTGATACAAGATTGATATTCATAACGAGGGTTGATATTTCTTACGACAGGAAGATACAATGATTGACATTTTTACCGACAGGTGAATACAATGATAGATATCTCTAACGACAGGTAGATACAATGATTGATATTTCTAAAGAGAGGTAGACAGAAAGATTGATATTTCTAATGTTAGGGAGATACAATGATTGATATTTCTAACGACAAGTTGATACAAGGATTGATATTCATAACGAGGGTTGATATTTCTAAAGATAGGTTGATACAAGGATTGATATTTCTAACGACAGGTAGATACGCAGATTAATATTTCTAACGACAGTTAATTACAAATATTAATAAGTCTTGCGGCAGATAGATATAAAATTAGATATTTTTTGACCGGAGAATATTAAGATATTTTGAAACTAGTCGACTGATAAACAAACTAAAGTATGAGAAATTGGCAAAAATTAGTTGGCTTTTAGGCCTTTATAAAGTTAAATATCTGCGGAGACCGGAACTAAAATCATACTTGTTGCCTAGGTTTGGTTCCGTAATGCTTGAGAATCTAATGTCACGTGGTTGTCAGCTGTCCGGTGTATCTGCCTGTAAAGATTCCAGTGCACAAATATCTAGGTATGTACAATTTGTACAATGTACTGTAAGGAACACTATATTTAAATTCTAGTACAAAGGTTTACATCTAACAAATAGAGACTACGTATAGTTGAAGAGCAGGATGGGGGTACTGCAAATATACACTAGTAAATAAACAAATATTATGTACTCTGTACTGCAGGTTTACAAGAGCAGGATGGGAGTACTGCATTATACACAAGTAAACAAATAAATATTATGAACTCTGTACTGCAGGTTTACAAGAGCCGGATTGGGGTACTGCAGATATACACTAGTAAACAAACAAATATTATATACTCTGTACTGCAGGTTTATAAGAGCAGGATTGGGTACTGCGGGGTTATAAAAGCAGGATGGCGGTACTGCAGATATACACTAGTAAACAAACAAATATTATGTACTCTGTACTGCAGGTTCATAAGAGCAGGATGGGGTACTGCGGGGTTATAAAAGCAGGATGGCGGTACTGCAGATATACACTAGTAAACAAACAAATATTATGAACTCTGTACTGCAGGTTTACAAGAGCAGGATGGCGGTTCTGCAGATATACTGCAGGTTCATAAGAGCAGGATGGGGTACTGCGGGGTTATAAAAGCAGGATGGCGGTACTGCAGATATACACTAGTAAACAAACAAATATTATGAACTCTGTACTGCAGGTTTACAAGAGCAGGATGGCGGTTCTGCAGATATACACTAGTAAACAAACAAAAATTATGTACTCTGTACTGCAGATTTATAAGAGCAGGATGGGGCACTGCAGATAAACACTAGTAAACGAACAAATATTATGTACTCTGTACTGCAGGTTTATAAAAGAAGGATGGGTATTGCAGATATACACTAGTAAACAAACAAATTATGTACTCTGAACTGCAGGTTTACAAGAGCAGGATGGGGTACTGCAACATGTTGGAATATGAACGAAGTGTACAGTTTACTCCCGCAGCAAGATATACAGAGAGTCGAGAGAATTGAGTTCTTGGATGAAAAGGTTAATTTTTATTAATCTTAATGAAAATGAAAATATTTTTTCCAAATTGTAGATTTTTACTTTGTAAAATCTTTACAAGTTACAAAGATTTTTCATAATGAACGAAAATGTAAAATAAAACAAACATTATATTATTTCAGGAGCTGCTACAACAACTATTCCACCATTACTGTATCACCGTTGCAAGAAAGAATTCACCGAACTTTAATTTCGATTCAATTAACTTTGACTAGATGTCGTATTTGAAGTGTTTTTCGAAATGAAAGTCTTAAATGTCAACAAAGCATATGTCGAGTAAAAACATTAAATCGAAGGAAATTAAGAAATTGAACTTAAAATATTTATGGAAGAAATACACTATTCTCCAAATATTTAAGGTCCCTTAATATTTTTGAAAATATGTTGACATTAAGTCATTGGAAAAGAATATTTGCTAGTCTCATTCACAAATGTCATCACTCATAGAGCACTGGACTAATAAAACTTTGCTAAAATTTGTCGTTAATTTTCCTCATAACCTCATTTAATATAGAGGTTTAACTTTTATAAACGGATAATTAAGCTTGCAATTTGTTAGCGTTGTGTGACTTTTAAATAATCTAGGTTTGACCATTCACGCTGCATTTCAACAATTCTGCAAGGCACAAAATTTCTAGAGGTTTCTTTAGAAAGCTTAGACTGGCCATTGCGAAATCGTCACTTACTATATTTTCGAAGATTTTTGAACATCTGTAAACGTTTTATTTATCCCATATCCAATACCCTTACTTGTACCTTTCAGCTTTGAAAGTTAACTACGCTTGTTAAATGTAACCAAATAATAATATTCCTAAATCTCAGTCTATATATTTGTAACACTGCACAGTCTCAGTCAAGTATTTGAAATATATGTTCAAAATATGTTGATTTATTAACTTTCGAGATGAATAATTTTTATTTAATGATATTATTATCGTTGTCGTTGTCGTTGTCGTTGTCGTTGTCGTTGTCGTTGTCGTTGTCGTTGTCGTCGTTGTCGTCGTTATTATTGTCGTTGTCGTTATTATTGTCATCATTACTGTCATCATTATTATCATTATTATTTTTTTCCTTTGACATGTAAATTACTAATAATTACTAATAATATTATTGTCATTGGTATTACTTCAAGATCTTTATTTGATCATAAGAACAAATAAGTGAATGTTAAATGTTTTATTGTTTAAAGTAAATCTATACCGACAGTTTCGCTGATCTTTATTAATCAGCTGTTCAACCCGAAATAAAGGGGAGGGGGGGGGGGTGTTGTCAATTCGACCCCGTTGAATTATTAAATGTATTTTAACTTAACTTCTGCAAATGTATTGATTTAAAAAAAATATTGAACTATTTTATAAATAAATTATTACGCAATTATTAGGTTTGCCCCTGAATGCAGCTGCGTTCACACAAAAAAATGTGCATCAAAGAGTACGTTCTTTATAGTCCATTTGTCCTCGAGAAAACTATTATATATTGAACTTTTGGTGTGCAACGTTCAATCAAACCAATAAACCGTTGTAGGAATTTTTGGCCACAATTCTGCGTAATAATCTGAGATGTTGTCTGTAATATTTATCTTTTTACACTCTTAAGGCACAATTTTCACTCCAGAGTATTGAGGACTCTCTGAAAAGTATGAAGATCCTAAATGTTTAAATAATTTCTAAAAGTTGATTTATGTCTGGTTTCAGAATCATGGACATTCAAGCACAATGTGGGGTTGGGGATCGAGTGTTGGTTGTCTGGAGCGATTTGGGAGCAAATCCTCAATCCCTTCAAGAAGTTGTAGAACGGATTAAGGTAAGATTTGGGAGCAAATCCTCAATCTCTTCAAGAAGTTGTAGAACGGATTAAGGTAAGATTTGGGAGCAAATCCTCAATCTCTTCAAGAAGTTGTAGAACGGATTAAGGTAAGATTTGGGAGCAAATACTCAATCCCTTCAAGAAGTTGTAGAACGGATTAAGGTAAGATTTGGGAGCAAATACTCAATCTCTTCAACAAGTTGTAGAACGGATTAAGGTCAGATTTGGGAGCAAATCCTATGTCCCTTCAAGAAGTTGTAGAATGGACTCCAGTACAAAAGGTAGAACGATCATAAGGTAGAACGACAAAAGGTAGAACGATCAAAAGGTAGAACAAACAAAAGGTAGAATGTTCAAAAGGTAGAATTACAAAAGGTAGAATTTTCCAAATTAAATTTTTTTTTTAAATGTCAATAAAGTCAAAAAATAATGTTTCTTATTTATTAGGACTAATTTTTATTTTACAAATGTACATGATTTTAATCCATGCCAATAATTTTGGCAAGCTGTTTCATATAGTCTGGTGCAGGGATATTATTCTACATTTCAGTCATGTTTTTAATCCTTGTAGGTTTATCTCTCTGTTTTTATTTGCGAGCGTTCTCAGTGCTGTTTGCTCCACTGGCTGAACTCTGTTCCATTCTTAATTTTCTCAAAATTCTATTCATATTTCTGGTCGTCAATCAATGTTCTTTTCTTCTTTTGATTCACCCCATAGTTGACCAACCTCTCCATGCTGAATTCAACCGAGAAATGCAGTTTTCTGATTTTTTTATTTTTAAATTCGCGGATTTTCTTGTTAAAATTAGAAAATTTTCTTCCTTCTAAAAATAAAAAAATTCTACCTTCTGTAATTCTACCTTTTGTTTATTCTACCTTTTGATCGTTCTACCTTTTGATTGCTCTACCTTTTGTCATTCTACCTTTTGTCATTCCACCTTTTGTAATTCTACCTTTTGTGATTCTACCTTTTGTACGTGAGCCGTAGAATGGATTAAGATAAGATTTGGGAGCAAATCCTCAATCCCTTCAAGAAGTTGCAGAACGGATTAAGATAAGATTTGGAAGAAAATTTTTAATCACTTCAAGATTTCGTAGAATGGATTAAGTTTAGGTTTAGGAGCCAATCCACATTCGACAATTCCTCTAAGAATTCGTAGAACGGAATTGGGAGAAAATTCACGGAACGGGAATTTTTTATATGTGAACCCTAGGGTCATAACGCAACAAATTTGTTTTTAAAAAATCTTTTTTTATTTTTAGAGTAAAGTAGGTGAGCAGGGAAATGTCTCGGTGGAGAACTCGAACCGACTGACAATAGGAGATCATGCTAAAGCTTCTTTTACTAAGGTTAGGGTCAGGTTCATTTAATTTTGTTGCCGATCCGGATCCTGAAGCTGTCCTGTAAAGAAAGGATCCGGATCCTGGATCTATTCTGTAAAGAAAGGATTCGGATCCTGGATCTGTCCTGTAAAGAAAGGATCCTGATCCTGGATCTGTCCTGTACAGAAAGTACCCGGATCCTGGATCTGTTCTGTAAAGAAAGGATCCGGATCCTGGAACTGTCCTGTAAAGAAAGGATCCGGATCCTGGAACTGTCCTGTACAAAAAGTATCCGGATCCTGGATCTTTTCTGTAAAGAAAGGATCCGAATCCTGGATCTGTTCTGTAAAGAAAGTATCCGGATCCTGAATCAGTTTTGTAAAGAAAGGATCCAAATCCTGGATCTGTCCTGTAAAGAACGGATCTGGATCCAAATCTTTGATCTGTCCTGTTAAGGAAGAATCTGGATCTGGATCCAGCTCATTAATATACCTTGAAGTTTCTTTTACTCAAAATAAGTTTCCGACATTTAATTTTTCTATCTTTACGGAAGGAAGATAGGTTTTAATGAATAATGATCTCTCATCAGTTGGCACTTGGCAAACAGTTTGTTTTCAATGTTTTAGTTGATGTTTTGTCACTTAAATCCGGATCCGTGTATCTGCATTCTTTTTGCAGATCCGGATTCAGGTGGCTAGGGGGCTAAACTTAAGTGTTGTGGATCCAATCCGTTGGATCCTGATTCTAAATTTAAGTTTACCTTTTTATTTTGTTATCTGATTATAAAACGTAATTTTTATGAAAGTATAATTTGTTTAGTGAATATTTTTCTCTCTCGTCTCGGTGTAAAATTCATTATTAGGCATGCTTTATTAAATTTGTGGATATGGGAGATGGAATTATTAAATTAAAAAAATATTATGAAACACTGTAACTTTCCTTTTATTATTCATTTTTTTAGCGTTAAAATTATTTAATATAAAGTTGACCCAGTTTTAGAATAAGGGGCCGGGGGTGGGATGGGAGATATATTCTGACTCGACATTTTCAGGTGTTTTCTGGTTGTGTCGGGTTACCTTCTCTGCATCATGACGAGGATATTCTTGCTTATATCCTCAAGGTTCTAACTCCCAAGGGACAGCTATATATAGGTAACTAGGCATCCTGAGTGGTTTTCCCCGTCTTTTAGCCTTTCAATGTTGATTTATCTGTGACCAAGTATTTTGTGACTCATAAACAAATAAAAAAAATTCTTACTTTTTTAGAATCCAAATATTCCTTTAAATTCTGACGGGCCATAAATGAACCTCATGGGGATGATTTTAATAAAATTGGGCCCGATAGGTTTTACCGTTTTGATTTTTACAGGATACTTACAAAACTAAGCACAAAATTGTCCATAGGCACAGTACACACAGTCCATCTCCCCCAGTCCATAGGCACAGTACACACCATGCTTGTATACTTTTGAATTTTAGTTCAGCCAAGGTTACGTATATTGGAGGATACAAACAAAGATACAAACAAAGATACAAACAAAGAAAAAACAACAACAAACAGGCAAGCCTTGAAGGCAAAAATTTATTGAAGGGTTTCAGACCCCTCCCCCATTCCTCTTCTTGAAAGGTTCAAACTTCATATTCACCATGCGCTTATCCAGATTTGTGCATTATTTGATTTTTTTTTGTCAAGGTTTTGATTAGTTTCATTTTTTTTATTTTTCAGTTGAAAGTATAGAAGACAGCTTTAAGAACACTGTTCGATCCGGTCTTCTTCTCTCAGGGTATACAGATATACAGGAACCTGTTAATCTTAGCTCAGGTTATTCTTTTTCAGGGGGCGTAAACAGGAGTTTTTTTTTAAGGGAGTGGGGGGGCTAACTGCTCAGTAAATCTCTGTTTAACAAGCTAAATTTATTTTAAAATACTTATTTTGATAAAAAATCAGTAAATCTCTCTTAAACAAGCGAAATTTATTTTAAAATACTTATTTTGTTAAAAAAACAAACTTACCTTTTTTAACTTAAAAACAACATGCTCACTTACCTTTTTATTTTACATTAATACATGCAAACTTACCTTTTTTAACTTAAAAACAACATGCTCACTTACCTTTTTCTTTTATATTAATACATGCAAACTTACCTTTTTTAACTTAAAAACAACATGCTCACTTACCTTTTTCGTTAATATTAAAACATGCAAACTTACCTTTTTTACTTTAGTAAAACATACTCACTTACCTTTTCATTCTCACTTACCTTTTTCGTTTTTTGAAGTATTGATATACCTTAATTCAGAAATATCAATTTGAATCTCAACCCTAGTCCTGACAGAAGAGTGGAAATTAACATTTTGTGACCTTTCCCAAAAATATGGACGATGCTTTTAGCCTTACATTAGACACTTTCATCAAACTGCCGAGTCTTAAAGCATACTGCCCGACTGCCTACTTATTATTTTTTTTAGTTCATCTTCATTTCAAACCAAGTTTGGTGAGATTTTGCAAATCTCTGCATATTTGTAATAGTATGGTCAGAGCTTTTCAGTCTGAGTCACCACATCTCGCATAGTTCGAGATAATGAAGTGAAACCACAATCAAAACCAATAAAAAAGTATAAAAACTTATTATTGAAATATTAGTGTCACACTTTTAATGGAGTCTTAGCACTCCATAGCATTGAAAACAAATCAGTTAATCTTGCTTCATGAATAAAATACAAAGATCTTCATCAGTTCATGTCGAACTGATTCTTACTAGACAACCTGCTTTTATCTCCTCTTTTTGAAAGATTTAGGATCTAATATCCAGAAAATGATTTCTTCTATAAATGAAGACACGATATTGTTCAGTAGATTAAGACAACCCACTACTATACCTTCTCTCCATCCAAAAAAAACTCAGGGCACATTTAACATGCTGTATCTAAATGTAGTATCAACTTAAAAAACGAGCAAAATCATTAGAAATTGGTAAACAAAGAAACTAAACTAAGGAAACAATCACACCACATGCATTAATTTCAAACTAAGAACCAATTTTTACTTCTAAAATGTTTTTTTTTTTTACATTTTAACATTAGAAAAATAAAAAAATAGTGATAGTCAGAACAAGAGCATAAAACTTATTTGCAACCTTTCATAATGTGAACTGTTCCAACTTGAAATAGTCAGATTTCACCAAAATTATTTTTTAATATAATTTCTTGGGTATGTGCCAATGGAACCTCACAAATATGATATAATAATAATCTTATGAGGATAAAAATGTAATAATGGAATTCTTAAACTCGATGAAATAATCTTGATGCATTCTTTAACTCAGGCCCGCGACCTTCGTTAAAGAATACATCAAGATTATTTCATCTCGTTTAAGAATTTCCATTATCACATTTTTTTCCTCATAAGATTATCATATTATGTTAAAAAATCAGTAAATCTCTCTTAAACAAGGGAAATTTATTTTAAAATACTTATTTTGTTAAAAAATCAGTAAATCTCTCTTAAACAAGCGAAATCTATTTTAAAAATACTTATTTTGTTAAAAAATCAGTAAATCTCTCTTAAACAAGCGAAATTTATTTTGAAATACTTATTTTGTTAAAAAATCAGTAAATCTATCTTAAAGAAATGTTTATGATCTGGATCCGGATCCATTTTGTTCAAGGCTGACCCAGGATCCGAAACCAATTTATGAAATTGGTTTCTTCCACCATCTTGAATTTATCCATGCTCCTGCGAATGAACCCATTGATAGACTTAAATTATAGTTTATCGAGAACCTTTATTTCTCTAGATACTGGGGAAGGTCAAGTCTATATGTGGCGTGGAAGTAAGCCTGAGTTTGAGATTGGAGCCTCCAAACCTCTCTCCTTCGCCAAAAAACCAGCTCAGACAAAAGTGAGTTAAGTGGGGCAAAACAATTGTTCAAATATTTAGTGTTTTTATTTAGTTTGGTAAAAACTAGTTTATGGATAATTAAATTATGCAAATGTTTGATTAGAAGGTTGATACCTGGACCCTTGATGATCTCGAGGATGACACTGTCGAGCTCATCGACGAGAACACATTGCTCGAGGAGCAGGACCTCGTCAAACCTGATCCTAGTTCATTGAAGTAAGTAAAATACAGGGAACAGGAATAAAGGGAAAGGAAATGGCGCTGGTCCGGCAAGAGAAAGCCAGTCGCACTGCTTTGCAGACCAGTACAGTAAACTTACAAACACTTTTCCGGTACAGACACACAACATGACTGCAGTCAAGGAAATTGTAGAACAATGTCGTCGATTATAATTAAACTTGAATAACGAGTAAACTTTAATAAATTATATTCTTTGCATGAAAATTTGGCTTTATAGTGTTGACTTAAATATGTAAATAATATATTACATGTATATTAAACATATGTTTAAGTAAACAATTAACAATAAACAAATGTACTCTCCTAGACTGTACAAATTCCGAGATTCTTACGTACTGTATAAACCTACAGTACAAACCTTTGGTACAGTAAACTGACACACACTCTTTTGGTACAGACACACACACATGACGTTTCCGCTCCCTGGCAAAATAATGATCAATTGATTGGATGTAAAATTAATTTTGAAATTAATTGATGAATTATTCATAGTCTAATGAATTGATTCATTATTAAATGAAATGATTTATTGTTAAATGAAATGATTCATTTAAAATGAATAAATTCTTTGTAAAATGAAGTGATTCATTTAAAATGAATGAATTCATTGTAAAATGAATGGATTCCTTATAAATTAAATTGATTGATTTTTTTATGAATTGATTTTTTGATTTATTGATGCTAAATGAATTGATTTTTATAACAATACAGGGTATGTGGAACTACTGGTAAGAGGAAGGCCTGTAAGGATTGCTCCTGTGGACTCAAAGAGGAACTAGAGGATGGGAAAGAGGTATAAATCAGTTTAGGGTTTACAGGGTTTACATCATTTTTACTGTTTACTTTTCTACCCAAGGAAGGTATCCCTGAAACCCCCATATAAGGGGAGATCGATTTTTAGATTCAACTCATCTTCATCTGCATAGGAATAGTTAGATATATTTAAATAACATTTAGAAAAGTTGACATTGCTGACCGGAAACCAGTTTTTATTAAATTCATGGTTAAAGCATTCCCATACGCAAGCGAAAAAAAAGTTCTCTTCAAAACATATCAATACAGTTATCAAAAGAACTCCTTTCGTGATTCAACAAAACAAAAGCATTTTACAGACGTACAAAACGCTTCGCTTGTTTACATTGCCCCCAGAGACTGCCGAACACTTTTCTACTTAACCCTATCTCTGCTGGGGTACTTGAAAACCAGGATATGCTGGGGGGGGGGTCAATTTGCCCCCCCCCCTCTAAATCCCATGTTTGATGTCCAAATATGAAAAATAATACATCATTGGAAAGCTCTTGTGCTCTACTTTTATAATCTGCAAAAAAAATTGCAAATTTGCAAAAATTGAATTTTTTATCGCAAAATCCAGTTTTATAGTAAAAATGTTTGCAAAAAAAATTTGTCCAAAAAATGAAAAATTATACATTTTTGAAAAGCCCTTGACCATGCCATTTTAAATATGCAAAAAATTTTGCAAAATTTTAAATAACCTGATTTTTAATCAAGAAAAACTAAAAATGTGCAAATTTCCTTTGACAGGTTGTTTGCAAAAAATTTGCAATTTTTTTTTCGCAAAACTTGTGCAATTCGTTTCCTTATGTCAAAGGCTTTCCAAAAAGCTAAATTTTATCAAAATCTGACAAGTGGAAGTGGGTCAAAACAAAAGATTTAGTTTGTTACAGGAAAAAACAGTCATTCAGGCAGTGTGCCTGAGGACTCAGGCAGTTAGTATTAAAGCCCGGTTTTAGGCCTAAAGGGAGGGCTTTGGATACATGTAGGAAAAGTCAGAAAATTTCAACAGCCTCAGACGAATACTTTTTGAGTTATGTAAAAAAAAACTACAGGGGGGGAGTCAAATTGACCCCCCCCACCCAGCAGGAATAGGGTTAAACAAAGATATAAAAGTTCTTTGTGTATCTTTCTCACTTAAAAGTTCTACCGACCACTTTCTACTATTCTTCAACTTTAAAAACTACGTATTTTTACTCTTTTACTCTTTTTTACTCTTTTTTTTTTACTATTTTCTACTCTTTTTTACTCTTTTTACTCTTTTTTTACTCACCTAATTTTAATAAAAGTGCCTGGAGTAATTCGTATGTTTTGAAAAATAGCAAATTGAAGGGAAATGATTAATATTTATTGATATTAATATTAATATTGAAACCAGTTAAAACCAATATTTATTATGGTAATAATTTGGATCCGGATACAGCGACATAATCAATTTTTTTTTGTTTTGATTAGTAAATTAAGTAAAAGTGCATATAGCTTTTAAAAATGTTTAGCTCCGAAAAATACATAGGTAAATAAATAAATTCTTAATTTAGTAATTTTTACTAAAAACGTAAAGAATATATTTGTGTAACCTGAATCATTTATAATATGTTACAGGTTAAAACTAAGTCTGTGAACTCCTCTTGTGGTTCTTGTTATCTTGGAGATGCATTTAGGTAAACATTTTAACAAAATACATTTTTTCAAATTTAGAGTAAACTGAATTTTTATGGCAAAATATCTAATTGAAAGTAATTTTTTCTCCAATTATTTCACCATGAAATCAGACCCAAGCATATTATTCAAATGCCCAAATTCTCCAAATTGCCGCACATGAGCTACAATTAGTCAAATGTCCAAATTTGCCAAATTGCCACACATGAGCTACAATTATTCAAATGTCCAAATTTGCCAAATAGCCACAAATGAGCTACAATTAGTCAAATGTCTAAATTTGCCAAATTACTACACATGAGCTACAATTATTCAAATGGCCAAATTTGCCAAATTGCCACACATGAGCTACAATTAGTCAAATGGCCAAATTTGCCAAATAGCCACAAATGAGCTACAATTAGTCAAATGTCTAAATTTGCCAAATTACTACACATGAGCTACAATTATTCAAATGGCCAAATTTGCCAAATTGCCACACATGAGCTACAATTAGTCAAATGGCCAAATTTGCAAAATTACTACACATGAGCTACAATTATTCAAATGTCCAAATTTGCCAAATTGCCACACATGAGCTACAATTAGTCAAATGGCCAAATTTGCCAAATTGCCACACATGAGCTACAATTATTCAAATGTCCAAATTTGCCAAATTGCCACACATGAGCTACAATTAGTCAAATGGCCAAATTTGCCAAATTACTACACATGAGCTACAATTATTCAAATGGCCAAATTTGCCAAATTGCCACACATGAGCTACAATTAGTCAAATTGCCAAATATGCACCAATCTTAAAATAAAAAAACATCAAAATTATTTAAGGTGTGCTTCTTGTCCGTACTTGGGTATGCCAGCATTCAAACCTGGAGAAAAAATACAGTTATCAGATAGACAACTGAACCCAGATCTGAGATAAATTTCAGACAGCTGACAGTTGATATTTTATCAGACGAGTTGAGATCCCAAATATACTGATCACAGATTATACAATATCAATATTTATTTTAAAATATTTCATCTTTTATATAAATTCGGGAATTAGAAAACATTGATTTTTTTTATATTTGCTCTTTTCTTAATTTTTTTTTACTAGAAATATTAAATTATATTTTCAGAAAAATGTTAAAAGAAATTCTTCAAACTCTTCAGGTTTTATTTAATCTCATTATTTTACAGTTTTGAGTAAAGTTTTATAAAGAGAAAATATTAACTTCTAAATCAATTATTCTCTTTAAGTTGTCTGTCTCAAGGGGTAAAGTGGATGATATAACTATTTTAAAAGTTTGGTAGTTTTCCTACATCAATATTTAAAGGGAGTGTTCTGAAAAACTATAATATTTAAAGGGAGTGTTCTGAAAAACTAAAATATTTAAAGGGAGTGTTCTGATAAAACTAAAATATTTATATTTAAAAGGAGTTTTCTGAAAAACTATAATATTTAAAGGGAGTGTACTGAAAAACTATAATATTTAAAGGGAGTGTTCTGAAAAACTATGATATTTAAAGGGAGTTCTGAAAAACTATAATATTTAAAGGGAGTGTTCTGAAAAACTAAAATATTTAAAGGGAGTGTTCTGAAAAACTAAAATATTTATATTTAAAGGGAGTGTTCTGTAAAAACTAAAATATCATTATTTAAAGGTGAATAAATTATATTTTAAGGGAGTATTATGAAAAAAAATCAACATTTAAATCGAGTGTTTAGAAAAAATCAATATTTAAGGGGAGAGTTCTTAAAAAACTAAAATGTCGGCATTGAATGGTAGTGTTCTGAAAAAAAATAAAAGAGGTTTAGAATGGAAAGAAACCAATTAGAAGCTAATACGGAATGACTTCTGGGGTAACTGTCAAGAATGCGTAACACTTATTTTAATCGACCTAATAGGTTTGTAATCATTCCCTGACATAACTTTTTTATTAGAATTTCAGAACTTCGTTGTGAAGTAAACAAACAAAGTTAGTCAGGATTAAATTAGATCTTGTACAAAACTAATTCGTAAAACTTTGTTAAAATTTTTATTTCATTGTATTTTTTTTCAGGATGAACAAAGTTTTCGTTAGGGGTGGGGGGTGGCTAAAATAAAGATATTTTAAAAATATATAAAAAATTAAATAATTGAAAGATAGAAACGGAAGCTGAAGCTTTAAACCTTATCCTTACATTCATCCTCTCAGGCTTAATAGGTACAGTGTACAATGTTAATCATGACAAAGAATATACAAAAATATTAAACTGCACAAGTTTATAAGAGGAATATACACAAGTAATCAGCACTTATTGAAATCCAAAGTTTTTAATGCTTGCATATATATTCCTTGTTTTAATATTCATATGAGGGGAAATCATGGATACATATATTTATAGTCAGGGTGTCCCTATCAGAATGGAAATTGAATGACGATTTCGATATCGTCTTTTTAAATTGACTTAGTATGGTGATACGCACAGAGAAAGCTGTAATCCGTAAGATTTTCGTCTGCCATTTGTTTGTTTATGTTTTGACTGCATACGGTATTACTTAGTAAAACAAGAAAATTACAGTATACAGAGTAAACTTGTCCGTCTTCACTGTTTACAGAGCTCACATCTTTACAGCATATATCGTTTTCATAAAAATAAAAACTCTAGCAGACATTATACTGTTATGGCTTCTGATATCAGGAATTATACCATGCTACTTCTTAACAAAGACGATCTCGAATTCATCACTGAATTCCCATGTTTATAGGGACACCCTGTATAATAACAACAATAATTTATATTCAAAGGGTGGAGATTTTCTACTTTAAGATGGAGAATTTATATTTCAAGCTTTGGATAAGGGGGATGTAAAATAGGACTAACTAGGACTAACTAGGACTTACTAGGACTACTAGAACTTAAAAGGACTTACTAGAAGTTAAAAGGACTTAAAAGGACTGTAAGCGTAATTTCAAGTGACCTTCCATGCAAAGAGGGCAATGCCCGATTTATAACAGTGACCTTGAATTACACTTACAGTTACCTTAAACTATAAACAGGCAAGATTTTTCACCTTGTATATATTATTTATTTTCCACGGCTTACTAAATCTATTATTTTTGAGAGGAGAAAATTAATTTTTGAGACAATGTTTATACATAAAATGAAAATGGGGTAACCTGAGCCTGGTTCAGGTTATGTTTGGAGCCACAGGGGTCAAGTAACTGGGACGGAGAAAGAAAAAGAAAAGGTAGAGGATGGAGAAGGATTATCTGAACTCCAAGATGGAGATGTTTCCCTTCCAGGTTCAGAATCTCTTCTCAAACTTATTAAAGACCGAAGATCAATTATGCCGAAGGATTTGACGGGTGAGATTTTAAGGTAAGTTTTGATTTGGAATTCTCGGAGTCTTGGACTTGGACAATGGACTTGGATAATGGAGTGGGACAATAATGGACTTGGACAATAGACTTGGACAATAGACTTGGACAATGGACTTGGACAATGGACTTGGACAATGGACTTGGACAATGCACTTGGACAATGGACTTGAACAATGAACTTGAACAATGGACTTGGACAATGGACTTGGACAATGGACTTGGACAATGGACTTGGACAATGGACTTGGACATTGGACTTGGACAATGAAGGACTTGGAAAATGGACTTGGACAATGGGCTTGGACAATGGGCTTGGACAATAGACTTGGACAATGAACTTGGACAATGAACTTGGACAATGGACTTGGACATTAAGTAAGTTTCTTTAAAAATGTTTAGTGATGAGACTATAGAATATTTGCTGGAGGCGGGAAACTGGGCTCCCACCCACCATAAAACCCAGCCCTGGAGATATATAGTTATATCAGGACCTAACAATATTTTAGGAAAAGAATATAATAAATTTAAAAAATTCTGTTGATCAATTATTGTTGTTGGCATTTAATTTGCAAAAACTAAATTTCAATTTTTCCAAGGAATCCAACCATTTATGGATTTTCATGAAAATGTCTAGTTTTTCTTCTATATTCTTTCTTTGCAGATTATCTTGACTTCATAGAAAAGTGGTATAGTGATAACAGGTGAATATCCGAACTTTACTTTTAGTTTTTCTATTTTCATGTCTCCATTTATCAAGGGAGTTGGTATCTGAAGATGAATTTCAAAAGTTTCAAGACAAGTATAGTTCAATGAGAGAAACTCTACCCGCCAATGTGAGGTATAAAAACATTGTATTTTTGGTTTTTCCTTGTTTTTGTTGTTGTGGATTGAAAACATAAAAGAATTGGTTTCAAATTTTAGTTTTCATTTTTTTCATTTTCTTTATTTAATATTTATTAAAACTAGTTAAAAAATAAATTAAATTTGTTAAGTAGTAAATGTAATGTTATAATACTGAGTATTATGAACTAGAAAGACGACTATTAGACTCAATTTATGAACATTAAAATAACAATTGTGCTACAAAAACTAGTGCTACAACTAGTTTTTTTAACAACACCAAATACACAAAAGATTGTCCTCTTAATCTTTTTCCAGTTTTTTGGGTCTCACTGTAAAAACCGTAAAAATCATTTTATATTAAAAAATTGGAATTTATTTTATTTTATTTAGTATTTATTTTCAAACACAAAATACAAAATAATAATGTATGATGGTTCAGCTTAAAATAAAACACAAAAGAAAATTTATTAGGAGCCAATTGAAAATATAATGTTTGATAATTTTGTTTGATCGTTTTTGTTGAAACAAAGTATGCATATTGAAATCTCAACTAAATATACATTCATTGAAGTAGATAATTAGTCAGCACTCAAATATAATCAAAACATTTTAAGGAATGCATTCATTGAACTTATAAATACTTATCGATTCAGCAAAAGTAACAATGTATTCTCGTTAACTGTAGTAGACTTTGACATCTACCATTAGCAAAGGGTGTGAACCCATTCTTGTTGACTGAAGTAGATTTTGACATCTACCATTAGCAAAGGGTGTGAACCCATTCTTGTTGACTGTATGTAGTAGACTTTGACATTTACCATTAGCAAAAGGTATGAACCCATACTCGTTGTCTGTAGTAGACTTTGACATCTACCATAAGCAAAGGGTGTGAAACCCATTCTTGTTGACTGCAGTAGATTTTGACATCTACCATTAGCAAAGGGTGTGAACCCATACTCGTTGACTGTAGTAGACTTTGACATCTACCATTAGCAAAGGGTGTGAAACCCATTTTTGTTGACTGAAGTAGATTTTGACATCTACCATAAGCAAAGGGTGTGAACCCATTCTTGTTGACTGAAGTAGATTTTGACATCTACCATAAGCAAAGGGTGTGAACCCATTCTTGTTGACTGAAGTAGATTTTGACATCTACCATTAGCAAAGGGTGTGAACCCATACTCGTTGACTGTAGTAGACTTTGACATCAACCATTAGCAAAAGATGTGAACCCATACTCGTTGTCTGTAGTACACTTTGACATCTACCATTAGCAAAGGGTGTGAACCCATACTCGTTGTCTGTAGTAGATTTTGACATCTACTATTAGCAAAGGGTGTAAACCCATACTCGTTGACTGTAGTAGACTTTGACATCTTCCAATAGCAAAGGGTGTGAACCCATTCTCGTTGACAGTAAGAAGGTTATATAAGGGTTGCGGCCCTAGTCCTGAATATATTCATATATTATTATATTGATTCACCAAAAATCTATAAATACATGTATGTGATTTATATTCGGTTATAAAATATTTACATTTTTAAAATTATAAAGTGATAAAAATAATTTAATATGATAATCGGCGTCCATCTATAGAATAACAATAACACCCATACAATCCTAAGCCACAGAAAAAGGAATGTGCAACCGTGTAAGGGAAAATGACCCTTTCCGTAAATACATACTTTGCTTGTCTGTCTGTTTGTTTGTTTGCTTGTATCCAATAAAGGTCCAAGCGGCTGAACCGAATCCGATAGTGCCCAAATTATGTTTGTGACCTCACATGACCCTAGGGAAGGTTTATCGAAGAGAAATGCTGAAAGATTGAGCCACTATTAAAGTTGAAATAGAAGATTGGCGCGCTGATATCCTAATTATAATTCAATGTATAATTGCATACTAAAGAAGGAGTAAAAGCTTATAATCCCTGATTTATTTAGCCATATGCTTGTGATTGGCATGAAAAGACAAGCATTGACTGACAAGCTACTGCCTGAATGGGAGGAGATTGCTGCAACCTCTTGTAGTGTACAGGTTGGATAAAAATCTTTGTTGAGTTAAAATCTCAAAAGTCTAAATTAAAAATGTAGATTTCTCCATTAACCCTATTCCTGCTGGGGGGGACCCCCCCCCCAGCATATCCTGGTTTTCAAGTACCCCAGCAGAGATAGGGTTAAAACTCCGTTCTTCAACAAAATATTATGTTGGCATAAAATATTATATTTGATTAATATTTTTGAAAATTTAGCTTTGAAAATGTTAGTAGATTAATTTTTGATCTTTGTATGTATTCATTCATATTTCATATTTAATATTTAATATTTAATATTTATATAAGTAATACAAATTTGAATATTGCCGCCGGGTGTCTCAAAGAAATAAATCTGATTCTAACGCGATGATCAAAAACATTGATAAATGATCATGGTCTAAAGCCAAAAAGTTAAACTTCAAAGTGTTCTTTTTGCAAGCAATGGTAATGGTATTCGCTCGGAAAAGATGAACTACTGCAGATCTACAAAAATCAAATTATGATGAGAACTTAGTATAAATTTCTTAAGAAGCTGTTTTTTTGATACATTGTATAGTTAATAATATATGTATTTATTTTTATTTTAATCTGGATTGTCAACAAATATGAATATTTGGTTATTTTCATGAGTGAAACAAAAATCAAAAATAGATGTTAATAAAAATTTTCTTTATGTGGCCAGAGGCATGTTAATTTTTTCTATTGGGTCAGTCCAATGAAAACAGCCCCACCTCCTATTAGGCACCATCTTCGATTTTTTCAAACTTGAAATATTAAGAGACCTATGTGAGCATTGACCTCCGTGTGCGGAGCAGTGAGGTCATGAAGTTTGGACCTCTGCAAAGATTGTGCACAACTTGTTTGCTATTTGCGTTATCGACCTAATTTTAACGTCATCAAATAGATAATGAATAAGGCTTTATTTGTTAATTCATAAGTAATCGATAATATAAACTTTAACGTCGTTTGATATTTTCAAATAAAAACTTGTTAAAAAAAAACATTGTATATTTGATTTTTTAAAATTCACACAAAACACTCTCTTATATGTTAAAATGCTGTGTATTAAAAATAATGTTTAACTGAAAGAAAATGTTTGAAAATATGTTTGTATGAGAGAAATTATACATTTAACTAACTCCACAGTTTTTGCAGAAAACATTAAAAACCACAAAATACGATCACAAAAACTGACGAAATAACTAAATCAGTCAGATCTCGATCACGAAATTTTAATAGTGTATTCCAAACAAATTAAGGAAATTTATCTATGAATTAAATGCAAATCTAACAATACAATTTATTCTTATTTTAAATTGAGCAAGCTATCTCCGCTGGTTTGGCAGAAATCACTGAAAACCGGCGAATTACGCTCACAAAACCTAGCATAACTTCTAACCCAATAATTCTCAAGCATGACATTTTCACAGAGCATTTTCAACATATAAGAGTATTTTGTGTGAAATAAACAAATCGAAGTATACGATGTCTTTTTTTTAAAACAAGTTTTTATTTGAAAATATTTGATGACGTTAAGTATAGGTCGATAACTCAAAAGAGCAAAAAAGTTGTAGTAAATTGAAAAGAGCAAACTCTTTGCAGAGGTCCAAACTTCATGACGTCAGTGCTCCGCACACGAAAGTCAACAGAGTCTAAAAATGACTGATTAGTGATTATGTAATGTCTCACGTAGGTCTTATAATAATTAAAGTTTGAAAATATCGAAGATGGTACCTACTAAGGAGTGTCTGATTTCAAATTGACTGACCTATATGGATTGTTGGCAATAATAATAAGGGTTGATTTCAGGATAAGCCATGATGAAATGAAAAAGCGACCAGTTTAAATATTCTATGTTTATTTAAGGAATTTATTTTAAATGCCAAAAAGTGCAACTGTTAAAAAACTGTTCTTCTCTTTAAGCCTAGCCTTGCACTGTGTAAACTGATTATGTTGACAGAAACAGGAGAAAAATAAAATTTGTGACTTTCAATTCATTATTAAATTATTATTTATTCTTTACCCTATTCGCGAACACTCCCTTGCGCGAGCGAAAACAATGTTTTTTATATTTTTATATTTAGAACATTCATCTAGCGCTGACCGCTCTGCCCGGATGTGGTGGGTTCTGGTCCTCTCATACTTGGTGTAAACATGCCCGGGATAGTAATCAGTTTAAGGTATATCTATCATTCTTGGGTTTAGATTTGATCTTGGGTTTAGTTTTGACCTTGGTTTTAGTCTTGATCTTGGTTTTAGTCCTTTCTTGACTTAAGTCTTGTTCTGGGTTTAAGTCTTTATCTTGGGTTTAGTTTTCATCTTGGTTTTAGCCTTTATCTTGGTTTTAGCCTTCATCTTGGTTTTAGTCTTTATCTTGGTTTTAGTTTTCATCTTGGTTTTAGCCTTCATCTTGGTTTTAGTCTTTATCTTGGTTTTAGTTTTCATCTTGGGGTTAGTCTTGATCTTGGTTAGTTTTCATCTTGGGGTTAGTCTTGATCTTGTTTTAGTTTTCATCTTTGGGTTAGTCTTGATCTTGTTTTAGTTTTCATCTTGGGGTTAGTCTTGATCTTGTTTAGTTTTTATCTTGGGGTTAGTCTTGATCTTGTTTTAGTTTTCATCTTGGGGTTAGTCTTGATCTTGTTTAGTTTTCATCTTGGGGTTAGTCTTGATCTTGTTTTAGTTTTCATCTTTGGGTTAGTTTTCATCTTGGTCGAGTCTTCATCTTTGTTTTAGTCTGACCTTACTCATGACTTTGACCTTTTAATTAACCCAAATCATGATTCTGACCTTATGGTTGACCTTTAGCATGACTCTGACCGTATTAATGATCTTTATCAGCACTATTACCTTTTGGTTGACCACAATAATGACTCTGACCTGTTCTTTGACCTTTATCATCTGACATGATGGTTGGCTTGAATCATGGCACTGACCTTAATCAATACGCTGACCTTATTGTTGACCTTGAACTGACACTTGGTCCAGGAGTACCTGGGACTGGAGAGCGAGGATCGTGTATTCGGAGCATTTATTCTGGGTCGGATCAGAGATGGCGCTAAGTTTAAATCTACCAGAGCGGATTGGAGAAATAAGGAACAAAACTGAATTTTAAGAATTTGTTAGTAATTTATCCTCTGCAAGTTTTTCATCGCAGATCTTCTATTTTTTTTCATTCTGCTATTCAGTTTAATTTAATGAATTGGACGCAATTGCACTCGGTTCCAACACTGGATTTTTTGGGGGGTGGGACTGGGGGGGGGGGTTGTTGTTGTAACTTTAAACCTAAATTTAAAATCTGTTTTGTTACTAGGTTGTTTGGAGAACTGGATCTTAGTACTTGTAGTTTAAAAAGTAATTGTCAAGGCGGCGGTACATACATTTAATTTGATATAAATAACACATGTAGTTTGGTATAGATAACACATGTAATTTGGTATAGATAACACATTTAACACATGTAATTTGGTATAAATAACACATTTTACTTGACAAAGATGACACATCAAAGGGGGGGGGGCATGAAACGTATTGCTCTCCGGAAAATTTAAACAGTGTTTAAACATAGCTTAGAATTGTCGTAGGAGGCTGATTTTTTGCATACAAATTACATATATTACATGCATTTTTTGGTTTTTAAGGAATCTGAGCAAAAAACCAAAAAATGCATGTAATATACATAATTCTGAGTTTGCATGCAAAAAATCAGCCTCCTACGACAATTCTAAGTTATGCTTAAACACTGTTTAAATTTTCCAGAGAGTAATACGTTTTATGCCCCCCCCCCCTTTGTTGAATGATAAAGCATTTAATATGGTAGAAATAACATATTAAATTTGGTATAATTAGATAGTAGCTATGAGTAACCTGGTCAACGCCGGGTTCCCAAACTAATATGGTATAAGTCAACTAAGAATACTAGTCGAGGAAGTATTAATATGTAATAATAACACCTCATATTCCATCTTTCTTAATGTTATGTGATTATGTTTGGTGCAAGTTATTAAGAATAACTTCAAATGTATTTAATTTTAGTTTTAAATGATCTCATTCAATAATATTTTTTGATTTCATTTGATAGATAATATTTTTGTTCGGAGAAATTACTTTTAACAGTAACAATTAGACCAAGTCAATGTTGAATTCAATTTGTGAAATACAGTTATTCTGTGGTACTACACAATTATGTTTTATTTCAAGAATTTAGTTTTAAAACATTGTTGTCAGAGTTAATCCAAATATTATAATAATTTTTAGACAAAATATCAAATATTATTTAGTTATTATATATCAAATATTATTCCAATTAGGAAACATTCCAGAATTTTAATAATAAGTGGAAATTTCTCTTTCTATTATGCTTCTAGAAAATCTGTATCCTCGCTCTCTACTTAACTATATTTCTCTTACCCCCCCCCCCATCTCATCGTTCCCCCTCCTCTCAGCTCTTCCGTGCTCCGCTACACTTCCGCTATTTATACGGAACTGTCAAACTGGTTTTTCATATTTGTTGGCACACTTTCATGCAGTTATAGATGAAATATGAAATTAATATTAAATACTTAAAAGTAATTCCTGTTTCTGTAATAAGTCAAAAGATATGATTTTTATATATATTTTTCTTATTATATGTTCAATTCTTTCAGATATATATGTGTACGCTATAGCTACGCAGGGGAAAACACTTTCAAGGTTACGCACAGTTTGCGTACCACATTTACGCGGGAATCAGCGTAGAGTCAACAAATGTTTTGTTTAAACCATATCGTCAACATAAACAGGAAAGACAGAAATTATTTTTTCGAAATTGTTCTCGTGATGTTTTATGTTTTAGATACCAAAAGAACAATTGCTTTTGCACCATGTTATTATAAATTTTTATTTGGTTACTTTAAAACTTATTAAATTTTCCTGTCTCCTGGAAGGGGCTGAGTTGACCCTTGCGCTTCTAGCATCTGGTGATAGCGGTCGGAGCAGTTAACCTGGAGCGGGATTATTGGATACCCGGCCCGGATTTGTTAACATCCGCCCCCCCCCCCTCTCATCACACTAAGTAAACTGTAAACAGTAACATAAACACGTGAACTAGGAGAACCTTTAACTAACATGGAGAACGTGAAAAAAAATAATAGTATTGTTTACAAACAAGTGAAACCGGTTTTTGCTTTTTAAAGGAATATATCAGTGAATAATATCTGGTCAGTGATCTAAGTATCTGAGAAAGATAAATCAGTGTCTCCGGAAAACTACTCTATCCTGTGATAAAGATGAGTTCATCAAGTACAAGTATAATGGACGGGAGAATCCCTGTATTCGTATTTCCGGTCCAGCTGGACTTCTACTACGACGACCAGACCACACACAAGCGTGTTGTTACCATCTATAATCCCTACGAGTTCGATGTTACGTTTAAGGTAAAGTTTCGATTCGATCTTCGAACACGATTCCTGGAAGTGGGCGCGACGGCGCACTGGTCAAAAACCAGTATTATGAAAATTCTTTTGGCGGTCATTTGATTTATGTGGGGGTTATTTCAAGCGCTTAAAAATATGCCCATATTATAAGAGTATTATTGGGAGAGGGGTGGGAGGGGGGTAAAGTTTTTCCTTTTTCTTGGTTTTGAAGATTTTGCCTTTTTTATTTGTTTCTCAGAATATTATTTGAATTTTACCCATTCAAACGTTAAATAAATTACCACTCAAATTAATTCAATGTTTATTATTACGCTGTGTAACACCCCCTTTAATCTTCTGTACAATTAAGGTGCTATATATTGTATAACAATCCCTATAATCTTATGTATTATTAAAGTGCTGTATATTGTATAACAACCCGTTTAATCTTATGTATTATTAAGGTGCTGTATATTGTATAACAACCCGTTTAATCTTATGTATTATTATGGTGCTGTATATTGTATAACAACCTCTATAATCTTCTGTATTATTCAGGTGCTGTGTAACAACCCTAAGAAGTATGCCGTTGTTGAACCCGAAGGAAGAATATCAGGGCAGAAGTGTGTTGATATAGTTATAAGGTGACACTCCCTTTATAACTGTAATATAAACAATCCCTTGATTACTGTAATATAAACAATCCCTTGTACACTTTAATATAAACAATCCCTTGATTATTGTAATATAAACACTCCCTTGATTACTGTAATATTAACACTCCCTTTATTACTGTAATATAAACACTCCCTTGATCACTTTAATATAAACACTCCCTTTATTACTTTAATATAAACAATGCCTTGATTACTGTAATATAAACACTCCCTTTATTACTGTAATAAAAACACTCTCTTGATTACTTAAATATAAACACTCCCTTGATCACTTTAATATAAACACTCCCTTTATTACTTTAATATAAACAATCCCTTGATTACTGTAATATAAACACTCCCTTAATTACTGTAATATAAACACTTCCTTTATTACTGTAATATAAACACTCCCTTTATTACTGTAATATAAACACTCCCTTGATTACTTTAATATAAACACTCCTTTGATTACTGTAATATAAACACTCCCTTGATCACCTTAATATAAACACTCCCTTGATTACTGTAATATAAACACTCCCTTGATAACCCTAATATAAACACTCCCTTGATTACTGTAATATTAACACTCCCTTTATTACTGTAATATAAACACTCCCTTTATTATTGTAATATAAACACTCCCTTGATAACTGTGATATAAACACTCCCTTGATCACTTTAATATTAACACTTCCTTGATTACTGTAATATAAACACTCCCTTTATTACTGTAATATAAACACTCCCTTGATAACTGTAATATAGACACTCCCTTGATCACTTTAATATTAACACTCCCTTGATTACTGTAATATAAACACTCCCTTGATCACTTAAATATAAACACTCCCTTTATAACTGTAATATAAAACCTTCGCTTTATTACTGTAATATAAACACTCTCTTGATTACTGTAATATTAACACTTCCTTTATTACTGTAATATAAACACTCCCTTTATTACTGTTATATAAACACTCCCTTTATTACTGTAATATAAAGCCTTCCCTTTATTACTGTAATATAAACACTCCCTTGATTACTGTAATATAAACACTCCCTTGATTACTGTAATATAAACACTCCCTTTATTACTGTAATATAAACACTCCCTTTATTACTGTAATATAAACACTCCCTTTATTACTGTAATATAAACACTCCCTTTATTACTGTAATATAAACACTCCCTTTATTACTGTAATATAAACACTCCCTTTATTACTGTAATATAAACACTCCCTTTATTACTGTAATATAAACACTCCCTTTATTACTGTAATATAAACACTCCCTTTATTACTGTAATATAAACACTCCCTTTATTACTGTAATATAAACACTCCCTTTATTACTGTAATATAAACACTCCCTTTATTACTGTAATATAAACACTCCCTTTATTACTGTAATATAAACACTCCCTTGATTACTATAATATAAACAATCCCTTTATTACTGTAATATTAACACTTCCTTTATTACTGTAATATTAACACTCCCTTGATTACTGTAATATAAACACTCCCTTTATAACTGTAATATAAACAATCCCTTGATTACTGTAATATAAACAATCTCTTGATTACTGTAATATAAACAATCCCTTGATTACTGTAATAAAAACACTCCCTTGATTACTGTAATTAAACACTCCCTTTATAACTGTAATATAAACAATCACTTGATTACTGTAATATAAACACTCCCTTGATTACTGTAATATTAACACTTCCTTTATTACTGTAATATAAACCCTTCCCTTTATTACTGTAACATAATGTATAAGCAATTTCTTCATTAATTTAAGGTATAGGCAATTTTTTCATTAATATAAGGTATAGGCAATGCTTTCATTAATATAAGGTATAGGCAATGCCTTCATTAATATAAGGTATAGGCAATGCTTTCATTAATATAAGGTATAGGCAATTCCTTCATAAATTTAAGGTATAGGCAATGCCTTCATTTAATTAAGGTATTGGTAATTCCTTCGTTAATTTAAGGTATTGGTAATTCCTTCATTAATTTAAGGTATAGGCAATCCCTTCATTAATAAAAGGTATAGGCAATCCCTTCATAGTTAAAAGGTATAGGTAATTCTTCCATTTACAATATGAGGTAGAAAAAATCATTTATTTCTTCGTAAATTAATCTTAATCTTTGCGGTATTTGAATTGTTTCATTTTAACTTTTTTATCATATTTATCATTTCCCTTTATTTGATATATATGGTGCCTTTTCTTCTATACATTCATTTACAGTTTTTTTGTGACACCCTGTATTTTTTTTGTTCTTCTATTCGTTGAATTTAATTTTGTACCTTTTTTCCTGTATAAATAATATACAAATTTGTTGTTTTTATTTTTCTCCCTAGGTTTTGTCAAATGTTTTTATTATTTAATACAAAAAGAACGTAAGAAACTTTATTTATCCTAAAATTTAATTCTCTTCTTAAAAAGAAATTCTTCAGAAAAGTAGAAAATAAACCACTTTACGAAAACAATTCTGCTTCTTTGAAATATAAAGAAAACATAAAACTAATTTTACGGATCGGTTATTATTTTATTATATACTAGCTGAAGGATCGGTTAGTTAGTATTTTATTATACACTAGCTGAAGGATCGGTTAGTTATTTTTTTATTATATACTAGCTGAAGGATCGGTTGGTTATTATTTTATTATACACTAGCTGAAGGATCGGTTAGTTATTATTTTATTATATACTAGCTGAAGGATCGGTTAGTTATTTTTTTTATTATATACTAGCTGAAGGATCGGTTAGTTAGTATTTTATTATATACTAGCTGAAGGATCGGTTAGTTATTATTTTATTATATATTAGCTGAAGGATCGGTTAGTTATTATTTTATTATATATTAGCTGAAGGATCGGTTAGTTAGTATTTTATTATATACTAGCTGAAGGATCGGTTAGTTAGTATTTTATTATACATTAGCTGAAGGATCGGTTAGTTATTATTTTATTATACACTAGCTGAAGGATCGGTTAGTTAGTATTTTATTATACACTAGCTGAAGGATCGGTTAGTTATTTTTTTATTATATACTAGCTAAAGGATCGGTTAGTTATTATTTTATATTTTATTATATACTAGCTGAAGGATCGGTTAGTTAGTATTTTATTATATACTAGCTGAAGGATCGGTTAGTTAGTATTTTAATATGTACTAGCTGAAGGATCGGTTAGTTATTATTTTATTATATACTAGCTGAAGGCCCGGCCGGCGTTCCCCGTGGAACAAAAAATTTTTTTGAAAGAATGTCGATTTTTTTATCCTATAAGAGATATGTACGAATGTCTTGTTTTATTATATAGATTTATTTCGTACACATACCGGTACAATAGATTATTAAGACTACAAAACATTTTAAATATATATGTTACACAAAATAAAAAAAAACGAGTTACAGCACAAATGGTTAATTATTTGGGACAGTTCATCCCTTTCATATCCGAGAATTTGAATTTCATTTGATCTATCAGAAAGTAATTCCTTTAAAAAAGGAATTTTCCAATAATTTTCATCAGAAACTTCTGCTTTGATTTGATTTATTGATTGATTGTAGACATGTAGCTGTATCCCCACAGTCTGTAGAAACCACGGATAAATTTAGAATTCACATGTTCGAAGAAGGTACTAGCGAGGTAAGTTGGATTTTTTTCGTTTAAAACAGAATCAAGTGTGACATGTATACCCTTACATGATAGATAATTGCGATCAATCAAGTTGTTTAAAGGGATTGCTTACCTATTTGAATCTGAAATTGATAACTTTGCTTTTCTGTTTGTATGTTTGTTTCAAATAAACGTCAAAACGGCGGGAAGTTCTATGAATGATAAAATCTTCAAAAATTTGCCTCCATCAAAATTCAACTTCCATTAAATTTTTAAAAATGCGCGGAGGGCCCTGAAAGCATGGTAACTCAAATTCTTGAACAACATGCAAATTGCATAACCACGGTACAGATCCGTACTTAGGTATGGGGGCTCAGCCCCCCCCCCCCCTATAATTTATGGTTGCCAGGGGTTCTTTAGGCCCCAACAACGGCTGCTGAGCCCACTCTGATAAGAAAGAAAATAATTAACCCCCAACCCTAGAAAAATTTCTGAGTACGTCTCCGGCATGATTTTATGGAATTTATGAGAAAGGGGGGGTATCGGCCTCCCCATTAGAGAGGGGTACTGCCCCTATGAAATTTCTTGTTAAGGCCCTTTTGGGCTTAATTTAAGCAAATAATATTTTAAGAAGATCCAATTTATTCTGTTGATTGCAATCGACCAAAATTGCACTTTAACTCCTGTATTTGTAGATCCTTGGAAAGAAGGATGTGTTGGCTATTCTGCATCCTGGGCTACCAGAGGCAGAATCAGCCTCACTAGGCAACAAACAGAGGAAATCCCAGCCAGGGTTTCCTCTCCTCAAATCTGACGGAGATTCGCCGCCTAGAGGTAAATTTATACATGGTTTCAAACGTAGGTTTAGAAAAGGGGCCATCAACGATTCACTAAGGTACTCTTAAATGCTTATGTCAGTATCGATGGCGTGGTATCTCGGTTTTTACCAATATTCTTGTTTTAGTTGCTCTAATGCATAAATTTATGTAAAGAAGTAATCTCTATTTTTGTTTGTGTTCATGTTTATTTGGATGTATGATCATTACTCATAAACATTAAAAATTCGGTGATTGTGATGGACCAAACCTCTTTAGAGTAAAAAAAAGTAGATGTTCCACATTTATTGGAAATATATTTCGGTCTGGGTTGACCTTCGTCAGTTCTAACGATATAATAACCATCAAAATCAATAAAAAAAAATTTAAAAATTGTTTATCACAGCTTCACTTATTTGCCTAAAACCACGGTAATGTTCATAGCTTGGTTTTGAGATTCCAAGTTGAGTGGGTTCAGTCTTATATGGAAAAATTTACTACGAAGCGCGGGTAAACGGCGGGAGTAGCTATGAGTAGTGAGTACCCTGGGCAACGCTGGGTTCTTAAGTTAGTTTACATATATAATAATTAATATCTTGTTTGTCTGTTTGTCTGTCCGATCATACATCATGGATACCTTGACTGATTTGTCTCAAACTCGAGAGAACCACGGGAATCTTCTAAGCTTGGCTTGAACATTTAAGTTGAGTGGGTTGACTTGTTTAGCGCAAGTTTAGTTTTTAGGCAAAGCTGGGTTCCCAAGCAAATGTATTACATAATGTACTAGCTTGGGAACCCAGCTTTCCCAGGATTCAAAAGAGTTATCCATTTAAAATGAAGTGGTCAAGGGGTTCCTGAGTTATGATCTGTAATACAAACATACAGTTATTACTTCTTTTTATACATAGATAAGTTCCAAGTTTCTACCTGTATTCCTGTTTAATATGTTCCTGTTTCTACCCATATTCTTGTTTTAGAAGTTCCTTTTCCCAACTATATTCCTGTTTTAGATGTTCCTGTTCCCAACTTTTTCCTGTCTCAGATTTTCCTGTTCCCAATCATATTCCTGTTTTATATGTTTCTGTTCCCAACTATATTCCTGTTTTATAGATGTTCCTGTTCCCAATTTTTTTCCTGTTTTAGATGCTCCTGTTCCCAACTATATTCCTGTTTTATTTTCCTGTTCCCAACTATTTTCCTGTTTTAGATGTTCCTGTTCCGAATATATTCCTGTTTTAGATGTTCCTGTTCCCAACTATATTGCCTGTTTTGCTGCTGTTGTGTGTATTTTAGCCCTTTTTCTTCCAACATCGTGTGAAAATGATAGAAGTCAATTATTGCAGGTAATTTTTTGATTTTAAGTAAGCGTACAATGTACAAAGTTGAATTTTGGTTAACCGCCATTTTTGTTATTGTTATTATCATTGATATTAATATTAATATAATCATCATCATTTTTATTATTGTTATTGTTATGTTATTGTTATTGTTATTGTGATTATGATTGTGATTGTGATTGTGATTGTTACATTTGTACTTCTTAGTTATTTGATTTTTTAGGATTATCCTTGGTTGCATCTCTCGCTGAACCAGAAACTTGTTTTTGCGTATGTACTTGGTCTGGTCACTATGGCCATTCTTAGGACATAGAGCTTTAGTACGCTTTTTCTGCGTCAACCACGACACCGTGATATACATACAGCAAACATATAATTCTAATTATTTGCGTCAGTTTGTTATGATTAGATCTGTGCTTTATTAAACTACACTGTACAATGTACACTGTACACTGTGAACAGTGCAGTACTGTTCAACACAGTTCACCCCGTGTTTGCCATTTGTTTATTAAGATATCAAGAGTAGTACGCTTTATTCATATCTTAAAGGAATTGTCTACGTAGTTTCTGTTGACCCTGTATTTGAAGTATTCACAGCCAGACAATGAAGGAGATTGAGATTATATTTTATCTGTTAGAGACAGAAAAATACAATATCATCCTCATTGTTAATTCAATAGAGGGATACATGGTACAATTGTGAATTCAATAGAGGAATAAATGGTACTATTGTTAATTCAATAGAGGAATAAATGGTACTATTGTGAATTATGGATTGTAACGTTTGAAATTGAGTGTCAATCGAAATAAGGTAGACAGTCTCTTTAAGATTTATTCAATTATAAGATATTTGATATTAGTTTTGGCATTAAGTAAACATTTTTGAAGGTTAAATGTAAGATCATTGTATTTTGTTATTATTCAGTATGTTATGTAGTATAGTCTTCTATCTTGTATCCTAGTATTCTGTATCCAAGTACCCTAGTGTCGTAGTATCCAAGTATCCTTCTATCTTGTATCCTAGTATCCAATTTCTGTGGTATCCTAGTGTAATAGTATTGTGATATCCTTTTTTCCTGGTGTATTGGTGTCTTTGTATCCTGGTATCCAAGTATTCTGAATTCTAGTAACCCACTATCTTGAATCCTAGTATTAAATTACTGTAGTATCTTGGTATCCTAGCACCTAGTATATCCAATATATATCCAAGCACTCGATAATATTAAATACATTTATAATCATAATCAAAATTACAACAAAATTGCAAGAAACCAACAAGTTTGTTTATAGAAAGGACATGAGTTCCATTTTGATTTTTTTTACTCTCAATTACGTTTTTTTATTTATTTTTTTAATTAAAAAAAAATTTAAGGGTGATATTTTTTATTGAACACACTAATTTACTACTTTGCTGTTTTTTGTTCACCCCGTAGGTATTGTTTAATTCTAAGTTTTCTTTTTGTTAAAATGTCGTCCGTACGGTAAAATACTATATTGGGCTTTGAATTTAATGGTTTTCAGAAGACAGAACTTATGCTGTTAAGATTAAACTTAAGTAGAGCTATTTACTGCATGAATTAAGAGAAGTAATTTTAAAAAAAACTTCTAAAACCATGTATTTACTATTATTGCCTAATTAACATTTTAGTCATTAAACCATTCAATAATGTAAACCTTCCATATATTTTTATAATCAAAATTCTTGTGTATTTTGTTTCGATCACTTATTTTATACAAAGAAAATTTCATTAAACTCATTTTTATAAATTTTTGTTCGTTCTGCTTGAATAAATCTATATCACGATTTTATATATGTACATTGTTAGATGAAGAAAGAAAACATTTCTCCTTCAATGTTCTGCGTTTAAAATGATAAAGGTTAGAATTGCCTGTTTTTGTCGAATAGATTCAGTTTTGAAAATAATGCTTGTCAAGTTCAGGAAAATGACATTTTGGTAAAAAAATATTCCACCGTCGTAACGTGAAAATAATTTTTATCATTCCAGAAAGTATGAATTTTATCAGTCCAGAAAGTATGAATTTTATCAATAGTTCCAGAGAGTATCAAATCTATCATTAGTTCCAGAGTATGAAATTTATCCGCAGTTCAAGAGAATATGAATTCTGAGTAGTTTCAGAGACTAAGAAGACCTAAAGTAGTTCTAGAGAGAATGAAACCTTTAGTAATAGTTCCAAAGAGAATTTAAACCTTTAACAATAGTTCCAGAGTGTATGCAAAATAGCAGTAGTTCCAAAGAGAATTTAACCTAAGGCATTAGTTCCAAAGAGAATTTAACCTAAGGCATTAGTTCCAAAGAGAATTTAACCTAAGGCATTAGTTCCAAAGAGAATTAAACCTAAGGCATTAGTTCCCGAGTGTATGCAACCTATAGTATTAATTCCAAAGAGAATTCAACCTATGGCATTAGTTCCCGAGTGTATGCAACCTATAGTATTAATTCCAAAGAGAATTTAACCTAAGGCATTAGTTCCAATGAGAATTTAATTCCAAAGAGAATTCAACCTATGGCATTAGTTCCCGAGTGTATGCAACCTATAGTATTAATTCCAAAGAGAATTTAACCTAAGGCATTAGTTCCAATGAGAATTTAACCTAAGGCATTAGTTCCAAAGAGAATTCAACCTATGGCATTAGTTCCCGAGTGTATGCAACCTATAGTATTAATTCCAATGAGTATGAAACTCATAGCAGTAGTTCCAGAGACAAAAAACTAGATTTTTAACTTATCACAAATTATAGTTTATTAAGATAGATATTTTTCCTGTTATGCACTAGGTTTTCTTTCCCTTAAGTGCTGTTGAGAAACTATTCTGAAAATAGGAACAAAAAATTCCAAAAATAGAATCAAACACATCAAGATGCGAAGCGCATTTTTATTTTTTTCTGAAAAAAAAGAATAATTGTTTACAATTTTATACATAACCATATCATATTTCAAACTGAGGCAGTATATTATTGGTCTTCTTCACTAGCTTTTTTGTATATTATTAATGTTTCTTTTTATACTTTACAAACTTTCCCCTTTAAAGATAAAGTGAAATATAAATGTTGCATTTTTGGTAGATGAAGTGGTTAGTAAGTATAGAACTATGTCCATGCCTATACTTGTTTTAAGAATACGGTTATACAGTTTACACAAATACTGTGTTCTTAACAGAAATATAGAAACAGTCTGAACAATGTACATATTGAAAGCATAATAAAAGTGAAAAATAACGAACAGATACTGCCTTCAGACTCATTAAAATTATTTTTATTGGATTCAATTATTCAATAAATATTATATTTCCATTAAATAATCAAATACACATACGAATTATCAAATTTTTTGCCTCGAAATCTCGTGAGGGGGGGGGGGGGTGCGAAGGTCCTGCCGCCCCCGCCCCCCCCTGTATCCACCTATGAAACCTATCAATGGTTTCAAAGAGATCTATCAATATCTTGTTATAGAGAGTATGAAATATTTAGGATCTAAATGTTGGGATTCATTAAGGGCCTTACGGAACCTTTTCTGAACTTGTTGAGAATTCAAACCTTGAAAGAAAATTAATGATGGATTCTTTTTTAACCAAAAAAAACAATTAATCTACCTCATACATGATACACAAAGCTAGGTGTGATATGCTTTAAAAAGTTCACAGGACGATTATTCTAGATCAATAACATGTGGAATAATCGTCCCGAAAAACTTGTTCAACTTTGCTCTGTTTATCACATAGGATCTGGAATTATTCTTTGTTCAGTTTAGAAAGATTCCGCCATCAATTTCCTAAAGTTTAAATCGTTCTCTATCTATTCATAAAAATAAGTTTACAAAGGTTAAACGACAAACTCACACATCATAATTAATACCGTTTCTTGCTGAACATATTTGAATTTAGTCAAAAGTCGGCTGTGGTGATCATATTGCCGTGCTTAATTGCAAGCATTTTTAAAGAAATTTTGAGATTATAAAAAACTCTTGACTCTCTTGATATAATTCAAATATTATTTAATTTTATTTTCCTAGGAATTTTATCAGTGTATATGAAACCTAGAAGTTCCAAAGAGTATGAAACCTATTAGTTCAATAAAATAAGAAATCTAGTAGTTCCAGAGAGTAAGAAACCTAGTATTTACAGAGAGTATAAAACCTAGTAGTTACAGAGAGTATGAAACCTAATAGTTCCAAAGAGTATGACACCTTGTAGTTATAGAGAGTATGAAACCAAGTAGTAGTTACAGAGAGTATGAAATCTAGTAGTAGTTACAGAGAGTATGAAACCAATAAGTTCCAGAGAGTATAAAACCTAGTAGTTACAGAGAGTATGAAACCTAGTAGTTACAGAAATTATGAAACCTTGTAGTTACATAGAGCGTGAAACCTATTAGTTACAGAGATTTTGAAACCCAGTAGTTCCCAAGAGTATGAAACCAAGTTGTTACGGAGAGTATGACGCCTATTAGTTCCAGAGAGTTTGATACCTAGTAGTTCCAGAGAGTATAAAACCTAGTAGTTTCAGAGAGTATGAGACCTATTAGTTCCAGAGAGTTTGAAACATATATAGTTACAGAGAGTATGAAACCTAGTAGTTTCAGAGAGTATGAAACCTAGTAGTTACAGAGAGTATGAAACCTAGTAGTTACAGAGAGTGTGAAACCCAGTAGTTACGAGTGCGTGAAACCTACTAGATACAGGGAATATAAAACCTTGTTTCAATATAGAATGAAACCTAGTAATTCCAGAGTGTTTGATACCTAGTAATTCTAGAGATTATGAAATACATAGAGAATAAAACCAAGTAGTTACAGAGAGTACAAAACCTTGCCGTTCCAAAGAGTGTGAAACCTCGCAGTAGTTCTAGTAGTTGAACCATCTCACTTAAACCCTTATCTCTAATTCATCTCTCTTAAACCCCTTCTCACTAATACATCTCTTTAAAACCCCTTCTTACTATCCATCTCTTTTAAACCCCTCTCACTAATCCATCTCTCTTAAACCCCTCTCACTAATCCATCTCTCTTAAACCCCTTCTCACTAATCCATCTCTCTTTAACCCCTCTCACTATTCCATCTCTCTGAAACCCCTCTCACTAATCCTTCTCTCTTAAACCCCTTCTCACTAATGGCCATCTCTCTCAAACCCCTCTCACTATTCCATCTCTCTTAAACCCTTCTCACTACTCCATCTCTCTTAAATCCTTCTTACTAATGCATCTCTCAAACCCCTTCTCTCTAATCCATCTCTCTTAAACTTTTCTCACTAATTTATCTCTCTTAAACCCCTCTCACTAATCTATCTAGATCTCTTAAACCCCTCTCACTAATCCATCTCTCTTAAACCCTTCTCACTAATGCATCTCTCAAACCCCTTCTCACTAATCCATCTCTTAAACTCTTCTCACTAATCTATCTCTCTTAAACCCCTCTCACTAATCCATCTCTCTTAACCACTTCTCACTAATCCGTCTCTCTTAAACCCCTTCTCACTAATCCGTTTCTCTTAAACCTCTCTTTAGATTTATCTCTAACCCACAAATTCATTTTATTGAAATTATACTGAAAGAGAAAACAAAAAATGAACCCCCCGCCCTCACCTTGAAACCAGTAAAAAAGATTTTGGGAACCCCCCTTCTAGCTGAAACAGGTAATTGTTTGTTATTCCTATAAAGAACTGGTTAAATGAATTCTGGTTTATTAACGAGAGGAAATTTTAAGGACGTCAAGAACCAACTCAGACTATGCATCTAGGAGGAGGGGGGGAGGAGATTTATGCATTTTAAAGCGTACCGATCTGAATCGAGCATATTCTTCATCAAAATGAGAAATTACGTCTATAGAGTCCCTTTATGAATAAACTAGAATTTCAACCCTCAGTGGCTCTGAAAATAAGGAAGGGAAGAATTAAATCATTAATAAACAATATTTAATCAAAATTTATTTGTTTTTTATTTGACGCCCTATGTCGTAAACTGCGATGTTGTTAGACCATAGGAGTATTTAATTTTATTCGATTAAAGATGTAGAGTCCTTATTCATTCGAAATCGAATCTTTTATTAAAACAATTTAATTAAACACCTCTCCTTGTTTTAAAGATTTATACCCTTAAATGTTGCTTTTCCTTCCACATTTTGTTTCTTCGCGGACATTTTAAAACTGAAACCATAAGTCAATCATCCTATATTCGTTACGTTTCCTTTAGAATTACTTTTCTATGTTGTTCCTCTATGCATGATTTTCCTACTCAAAGATCTAAACCATGTTTTTTAACCCTATAGGCTACAAGAGTGGTTTAACCAGTTTTTCTATAAATTCTTGAGTTCTGCTTTTCCTCTGTATTCGCTCAAAATGCGCCATAGGATTTGTAGCTCAGGCCGGGTCCCCAATAATCTGTTTTGGGCCCTGGAACATCGACAACAGATTTTCCAGGGGGCCCTGAAACATCGACAGCAGATTTACCAGGGAACCTTCAAGATCTCAAGGAAGACGTTTATTAATGTCAATTTAACGTTTCTGCAAGATGCAGATCTTTATTTTACGTGATTGAGTAACAGTTTACACCCAAACATCACATGTCTCATTGAAAAATATTTTGAAGAGAAATTGCTTGTCATGGATTTTCAGTTATTTTTCATATATTCCTGTCCTTAATATTCAATATTTTGTTTCCGGAGATTATCTAGAAAAATAAGCATTTATCGTTTTTTTTATTTTTTTTTAATATTTTTTCAATCGCCATATTTCTACAAAAAAAAACATTAAATAAAACAAAACAAAAAATAAAAATTATCTTCGTCTGTGAAAATTTAAATTCCAATCTGCAAAATATATTCAAATTAAATGTCCTATCTAAAAAATGTCTTTCATCTATTTAAAGGGACTGACCGGCTATGTAAGGTAGTGGAACCAAGTATGCAGTGATGTGGAAAACTTCTCTCGGATTCATTTGAGACATATTGAACTTTTTAAAGATCTGAAAATCCAGAGTTTGAGCGCAAATTCGACATTCAGAACTCCTACTTTGGGGGCGGATACGTTTTCAGAATTAGTTTTTTTTAAATTATTAAATAACGACAACGAAAAATAAAGTAAAAATTATACAGTAATCTAATTAGGTGGTTAATAACATATTTCTCAAATCGATTATTTCGTTTTCATAATTATATTAAATTTCTTCAAATTCTTCAAATGTCGTCTTTTCAATAATAATTATAGAAAATCTGTGAAAATCTTTGTGAATAATGAGAAACCAGAATAATGAGAAAATAGAAACTAATAATTGAACAAGATTACTTATTTTCTATGATAAGATTAATTTTTATTTTCTCAACATGTTCCTATACATGACGTCTGTAGTTTATTGTAGAACTTTTTTTTACATTTTATGTCGACGTTATTTAATAATTTAAAAAAACTAATTCTTAAAACGTATCCACCCCCAAAGTAGGAGTTTTGAACGTCGAATTTGCGCTCAAACTCAGGATTTACAGATCTTTAAAATGTTCAATATGTCTCAAATGAATCCACAAGAAGTTTTCCACAACACTGCATACTCAGTTCAACTACCTTACATAGACGGTCACTCCCTTTAAAGGCATTCTCAAAAGGTTAATAAACAAAGACAAAGCTTTGAAATAGAGAAACTTGAGTAACAGATCAATTTATATTAATAAGGGGAAAATGTGAATTTAGATTGTTTAAAAAAAAGAGCTAACATTCTGACCTTAATGCAAATCTCAATCAAAATTGGTCTTGCATGTGATAAATATCCCGTTTACTTGAATAAATTTAAGATTTTAATTAATTTATAATCAAAATTGATCTTACCATGCATCTTTTCCATGTGTTTCAATACTTTTTAAGCCTCTTTTTTATTTTCTATAATGACTGCATCAACACAGAAGTAAATATACAATGGACGTTTTATATCTTGAATACAGATCGTTCTCTACATCATCATCTTCAGTAGATTCAACTCCTACTCCCCCATGGAGACTGACACCTATAAAGATGACCTCCAGCGAGGCATTCACCGAAACCATGGTGGCTAATGGAGTTACTAATATTTTTGGAATCGTCGGTTCAGCTTTTATGGATGCACTGGATATTTTCCCTGAAGCTGGAATCCGTTTCATTTCTGTTCAGCATGAGCAGAACGCTGTTCACATGGCGGATGGTTTCTCCAGGGTGACCAACAGGCCTGGAGTTTGTATAGCTCAGAATGGACCAGGAATTACCAACTTTGTCACTGGTGTTGCAGCAGCTTACTGGGCACACAGTCCTGTAGTCGTGATCACTCCAGAAACCGGTTCTCTTGGCAAAGGGCTTGGTGGGTTCCAGGTATAAGTGCCTAATAATTCAAAAAAGCATCTAAGTTAATGACGAACCAAAACACTATGTCCAATTATAATTCTAGGAGACAGACCAACTACCAATATTCTCTCCTATCACCAAATATCAAGCACATGTTTGCTCACCTAAAAGAATGGCAGAATTTACGAACAGGTGAAGTATATTACTATTTTCACAATGAACTTGAGATTAAATATAGATTTTTTTTAACTAGATAAAGGAAAAATTTAGCTATTTTCCAAAAATAATTGACAGAAAAATACAGCTTCTATATATTAAAAGTAGTAATCTTTTTAATCTGTCTGATTGTTTTTATGTCCGATCATAACTCCGGAACCCCATGACCAATTTACCTCAAAATTTGATTGGGAAGCCAGTAGCGCCACGGGAATTTTATAGCTACAGGGTGTCCCAAAAAACATGGGAATTCAGTGACGAATTCGATATCGTCTTTTCAAATAATTCTTTGATTTAGTATAGTGATACCTACTGAGAAAGCTATAATCTGTAAGAGTTTCGTCTGCTATGTTTACATTTTGTTTGTTTATGTTTTGACTGCATACAGTTGTACTTAGTAAAACAAGAAAATTACAGTATACAAACAGAGTGAACTTGTCCGTATTCACTGTTCATCTTGCGGAGACATTATAGACACATCTTTACAGTCTTTTACCCTTTTCATTAAATAAATTCTAGCAGACATAATAATATTATGGCTTTTGAAATTAGGTATTACAATGCTAATTTATAACAAAGACGATATCGAATTCGTCACTGAATTCCCATGTTTTTTGGGACACCCTGTAGGTTAAAATTTCTAATTTGAATGCAAAGACTTTTAAAGAGAAATGTTAACTTTAATTTTCGTCAAATCCAGGTTTTTTCAAAAACTCAATGTATTAGATAAAATTGATTTTTTTCATGTCTTTAGTTTCAATATGTTATAAAATTGTTTCTAGATGCTTCTACTATGCTATGCTTGAAAGAGGACCTGTTCAACTCAATATACCAAGAGATATGTTCTATGGAGATCTTGTAACAACTATTCCAGAACCTATAAAAGTTGATAGGTCGGCTGGTAAGTGTACTGTATATACCTAGGATATTTACCATATATATAGAGATCTTGTAAAAGCCAAAATATATGAAAATATATATACCTAGAGATATGTACTATGTATGGAGATCTTGTGAAAGATATTCCAGAACCTATGAAGGTTGGCAGGTCGGCTGGTAAGCGTATATACCTAGGATATTTACCATATATGGAGATCTTGTGAAAGATATTCCAGAACCTATGAAGGTTGGTAGGTCGGCTGGTAAGTGTATATACCTAGAGATATGTAAAGTATATGGAGATCTTGTGAAAGATATTCCAGAACCTATGAAGGTTGGCAGGTCTGCTGGTAAGTGTATATACCTAGGATATTTACCATATATATGGAGATCTTGTGAAAGATATTCCAGAACCTATGAAGGTTGGTAGGTCGGCTGGTAAGTGTATATACCTAGAGATATGTACCATATATGGAGATCTTGTGAAAGATATTCCAGAACCTATGAAGGTTGGCAGGTCAGCTGGTAAGTGTATATACCTAGAGATATGTACAGTATATGGAGATCTTGTGAAAGATATTCCAGAACCTATGAAGGTTGGCAGGTCTGCTGGTAAGTGTATATACCTAGGATATTTACCATATATGGAGATCTTGTGAAAGATATTCCAGAACCTATGAATAAGTGTATATACCTAGGATATTTACCATACATGGAGATCTTGTGAAAGATATTCCAGAACCTATGAAGGTTGGCAGGTCGGCTGGTAAGTGTATAATAATTGCAATGTTGTTAATTTCCCATCTTATTTCATAGTTCATGTTGTTTACTTGATTATATTGAATTCCATTCAAATATGTGAAAAGAAATATTTATGGATTTAAAACAGTATTAAATATTTCATTGCTTCTATTTTTAATCATTTTCAAAAGTTTTCTTACATCAAATTAGGTTTTTTAGGGGATATATTATTAGTGTCAAGTATGATTTAGTAAAGGATCTCTAATTCAACTAATTTTGTAATCGTTATATCTTTGCAACCTGATGGTGTAAGCATGTGATATATTTTAAATTATTAGTCAGGTTTACTTAATCTGGTTGCAAAGATATATAATCGGGTTAAACAATAAATTATGTCTTCCTAGGTGGTCCAACCTCTCTAGCAGAGGCTGCTGACCTCCTGCGGACAGCCAAGAATCCTGTGATTGTATCTGGAGGTGGTGTTGTCATGGGTGCTGGTGTTGCTGAGGTTGTAGAGCTAGCTGAACTACTTCAAGCTCCAGTGTGTTCAACATACCTTCATAATGATAGTTTTCCAGCTTCTCATCCTCTTTGGGTTGGACCATTAGGTTATTATATGATAACTGAGTTGTGTGGATTATCGTTAATCTTGAACCCTTGATCTTGACTCTCCATATCCAATGTGGAAACTTTGAAATTTGAAGACAAATGCTCTCTAGAAAAAAGGGGTTTAAACATTTGGTGCAACTAATCAGAATTGAGTTTTTCATATTTAAAAAGTTAGGAAGAATTTAAAATAATTTGCAATGAATTTATCAAAAAAATGCGACTAAAACGGAAGAAAAAACCCCAGAAATGCTAATTCTTATTATTGTTATAATTATTTAGGATACCAGGGATCCAAGGCGGCGATGAAGATTATATCCCAGGTAAAATTTTTGTCTTAAAATCAAATCTGTTTCTTCTTTAAAGGACTGTAAGCGTAATTTCATCAAGTGACCCTCCATGCAAAGATGACAATGCCCGATATACAACGGTATCCTTAAAAGCTTTGTCTGATCAAGTATGAATTAGATATTTATGTTTACAGTTTTGAAAACTGATGTTTTCAATTTTGGTTTCTCTACAAAAGCATTTCTACCACAGGAAAACGTTAAGAAATTATTAGAACAAATCGCAACATGCAGAATTATTAGAACGAAACACTTTTAAACCACTTTGATCAGTTAAATGTTTCAATTGGATACCGTTGTGAATCGGGCATTGCAATCTATGCATAAAGGGTCCCTTAAAATTACGCTTACAGTCCCTTTAATTTAGGCGGATGTTGTCCTAGCGCTAGGAACTAGACTTGGACCTTTCGGATCCTTACCTCAGTATGGATTTGATTACTGGCCTAAATCTGCAAAAATAATCCAGGTAACAATATTGATAAGATTGACAATATTGACAATATAGACAATATTTACAATATATTGATTATATTGATAATATTGACAATATATATTGATAATTTTGAAGATATATTGACAATACTGATAAAATTGACAATATTGACAATACTTTTAACAGAATCTTTATGATAACAAATGTTTCAAAGAAGAGAAAATTAATGTAAGAATTATTCATTAACTTAGATATTTCAGATAATTTTGAAGTTTCCGTGGATTTCAGGTTGACATGAATCCCAGGGTTCTGGGATTAACAAAGCATATTGATGTTGGTATCCTGGGAGATGCTAAACTAGCTGCTTCAACCCTCACTGCTCAACTCAAATCTGAGTTACCATCTTGTGTTGCCAACTCAGAAAATAGGTAAACAATCATCCATACTGTGATTAAACCCTGGAGTTATATACACACGATTAGGAGTGAAAAGAATGTACTTGCATCGAAATAATGTCAAAAAAATGCCTACAAGTTCTCTGAATATTAGTCCGATGAGTCTGATAACTAAAACATTTTTTTTTGAATTTTCTACTTAAATAAACAAACATCAATTTAATTTCAAACTGGAAGGAACTTCAAAGTTATAACTTAAAACCTTAAACAATAATGAATTTTCTTTGAAGAGCTCTGAAGACAAAAGTTTTACAAATGAAAAATAAGTTTAAAGATTAAGAGATGTAATATATCAACACTTAGAGATTGATTCATATGAAAGAAAAGAAGGAAAAATGTGAAAATAAACTGAATTATTTCTGTATAGGTTGATTCATATGAAAGAAAAGAAGGAAAAATGTGAAAATAAACTGAATAATTTTTGTATAGGTTGATTCATATGAAAGAAAAGAAGGAAAAATGTGAAAATAAACTGAATGATTTTTGTATAGGTTGATTCATATGAAAAAAAGAAGGAAAAATGTGAAAATGAACTGAATTATTTGTATATAGATTGATTCAGATGAAAGAAAAGAAGGAAAAATGTGAAAATAAACTGAATTATTTTTGTATAGGTTGATTTATATGAAAAAAAAGAAGGAAAAATGTGAAAATGAACTGAATTATTTGTATATAGATTAATTCAGATGAAAGAAAAGAAGGAAAAATGTGAAAATAAACTGAATTATTTGTGTATAGGTTGATTCAGATGTAAGAGGAGAAGGAAAAATGAGAAAATGAACTGAATTATTTTTGCATAGGTTGATTCCGATAAAAAAATGAGAAGTATAAATGAAAAATGAAAAAATTAACTGAAATATTTCTGTATAGGTTGATTCAGATGAAAGAGGAGAAGGAAAAATTGGAGGGAGAACTGAACCATCTCTGTATAGGTTGATTCAGAAGAATAGGAGAAGGAAAAATGGAAGGAAGAACTGAATATAGTTTTATGCAGACGAAAGGGGAGTAAGAAAAATGAGTGAACTGAGTCATCTTTGTATAGGTTGATTCCGATAAAAAAATGAGAAGTAAAAATGAAAAATGAAAAAATGAACTGAAATATTTCTGTATAGGTTGATTCAGATGAAAGAGGAGAAGGAAAAATGGGAGTAAGAACTGCATACTCTATGTATAGGTTGATTTAGATGAAAGAGGAGAAGGAAATGGGAGAATGAACTGAATTATATTTGTATATGTTGATTCAGATGAAAGAGGAAAAGGAGAATTGGGAGGAAGAACTGAATCATCTTTGTATAGGTTGATTCAGATGAAAGAGGAAAAGAAGAATTGGGAGAATGAACTGAATCATCTTTGTATCGTTTGATTCAGATGAAAGAGGAGAAAAAGAAATGGGAGGAAGAACTGAATCATCTCTGTATAGGTTGATTCAGATAAGAGAGGAAAAGGAGAAATGGGAGGAAGAACTGAATCATCTCTCTGTTACACCAATATCTGCTAAAGAAATGGAACCTAGGACAGCTCTAAGGCAAGTATTGTTCATATTATTGTTGTATTCTGAAATGATGAATTTAAAAAAAGTTTATTAATATTAAATTTGCTTACATAAAATTTCACATGAAACTGATAACCTACTAGGAACTTCGGTTCATTTCAAGTCCCATGCCGACCTTAAACCAGCTATTGCAAGTACAATTACAGACTATGTATCCAAGCCGGGACAGTACGTCAGATGAACCATCCCGTTCTAGTGAAATTTTTGGGAAACTGTATTAAATAAATGAATTAAAAGCAGGCCCGTAAACAGGGGGGGGGGGTGCAAGGGTGCACCCCCCTTTCTTCTGAAAGGGGGGTACAATGACGAATTTGCACCCCCTTCCCCACCCCGTCCCATATAAAAGAAATTGCTTCTCATAATTTTCTAAAATCTAGTCACCCGGTTGAAAAGCTTTTTTAAAAATAAATAAGAAATGTGAATATATATATAAAATCATGATGAGGCCGAGGGACAAGAAGCCTTGATTTTAAATAATGAATTTTTTTCTTAAGCTAAAGTACCATTCATTTTTTTTATGTATATTGTATATGTAAACTGAAAAGTTTCGGACACTAAAATGTAACCCTTAAAAGTTTAAATACACTTGTTAAAAAGGTTAGTCTTTATAGCATACATTGACAATGTAATAAAGAAAATCATATACCACCGTAAAAACAAACCAAGAATTGCTTTAAAAAAAAACAAAAAAATTTTTCGCCTGCGGTGCACTTCTTTGCACCCTCCTGTGCGGGCCTGTAAAAAGATGTCCTTCTCCTGCAGGGAGCTGGAGAAGCATATGCCGGAGAATGCGATGGTTTCAACAGATATTGGAAATATCTGTTCTGTCTCTAACAGTTACCTCAGGTTGGTATAGTGATCAACAAAATAAAATATTTTTAAAACCCTCCTCATAAAATCTTTCTGGTTTAAATTGTTTCCGCAGAACAGGATTTCAGAAATGTTTCTTTTAAAATTTTAATTTCCGGAAATTGTGACCTTTTTGTTCACATTGTACTGGATAGGAGGAATCATTAAAATTCCATTTATTCAAACTTGTTTTCTATGTTTGCGGTTTTCTAAATTATTTATTTTTTCTATCAAGAATGTGGGAGATGTGATGCCTCTCCGTCTAATTAAATTCAAAGAAACCTTTCTTTTCAAAGGAAAACTAGTTAACTTGAAGTAAGATGTTTCTTCAAATGCTACACTTAAACTCTAAAGGTTTAATTGAACTGAGTTGTTGCCAAAACTAATTATCCAATCCCTATATCTTTGCAACCTATTTGTATATCTAGTTTTATACAGTGGTACGCGATTATATCAATTCAATGAAGACGACTTTTTTATTTAAGTTTTGATTGTTAACAAGCTTTTTTCAAGAAATTGATAAGAAGCTTTTTAAATTCACTGCTTCACTTGACTTTTATGTTTATGTGTATCCATGCTGTTTAACAGCTTAGTATAAATCAGAATTCAATTCAAAAGTCGTCTTCATTGTATTGAAATAATCGCCTGCCACTGCAGATAATTAATTTTTCCGTATATCTATAGGTTTAATAAGCCAAACAGTTTTTTTGCTGCGATGAGTTTTGGTAATTGTGGATACTCATTTCCAGCTGCTATGGGAGCTAAGGTAATTGTTTCCAGCTGCTATGGGAGCTAAGGTAATTGTAACCAGCTGCTATGGGAGCTAAGGTAATTGTCTCCAGCTGCTATGGGAACTAAGGTAATTGTTTCCAGCTGCTATGGGAGCTAAGGTAATTGTCTCCAGCTGCTATGGGAGCTAAGGTAATTATTTCCAGCTGCTATGGGAGCTAAGGTTATTGTAACCAGCTGCCATGGGAACTAAGCTAATTGTTTCCAGCTGCTATGGGAACTAAGGTAATTGTCTCCAGCTGCTATGGGAACTAAGGTAATTGTCTCCGCTGCTATGGAAGCTAAGGTTATCGTAACCAGCTGCTATGGGAGCTAAGGTTATCGTAACCAGCTGCTATGGGAACTAAGGTAATTATTTCCAGCTGCTATGGGAGCTACGGTTATTGTAACCAGCTGCTATGGGAGCTAAGGTAATTGTTTCCAGCTGCTATGGGAGCTAAAGTAATTGTCTCCAGCTGCTATGGGAATTAAAGTAATTGTCTCCGCTGCTATGGGAGCTAAGGTTATTGTAACCAGCTGCTATGGGAGCTAGGTATTTGTTTCCAGCTGCTATGGGAGCAAAGGTAATTGTTTCCATCTGCTATGGGAGCTAAGGTTATTTTTTCCAGCTGCTATGGGAGCTAAGGTAGTTGTTTCCATCTGCTATGGGAGCTAAAGTTATACTGTCTCCAGTTGCTATGGGAACTAAGGTGATTGTCTCCGCTGCTATGGGAGCAAAGGTAATTTTTCACAGCTGCTATGGGAGCTAAGGTTATTGTAACCAGCTGCTATGGGAGCTAAGGTTATTGTTTCCATCTGCTATGGGAGCTGAGGTAATTGTTTCCAGCTGCTATGGGAGAGGTTATTCAGCCTCTTTTCTGTTATTCAAATTTATCTTAATATTTTCTTGTGCTGACTGCTGTTGCCCCCCCCCCACACCCAATTTCAATTTTTGTATTTATTATGTTATCATTTGTTTTATTCAACAAGTAGCGATTGTCAGAGAGACCCTGAACATAGTATTAAAATGTCAAAAATAAATATATTCATAATAAATAAACTGAAATCTATCTTTTTTATCTAATTATCTATCTACTCTACAGGGTGTCCCACATCAAAGTAGACCGCGTCAATGGGTCTAAATTATCGATTTTGGGGACAAATCAGAAAATTTAAGAAGAATTAATCATTTTGAAAAATTTAATAAGGCTAATAGAAATTTTTTTGCAGAAAATGCCAGATTTTTCGAGTATTATCTGCGTATTTTGGCGTTAAAGATTGGAAATAATCTAATATGATATGGGACGCTCTGTATGTGTCTATTTTTTTCTTTAAATGGACCTTTAAGCAAAATATTTCAAAACTTATATTGATTTTTAATTAAGTTGGGTGCCCCTGAGCGTCCCTCTATTGCTTATGTTGGTGACGGAGCTTGGGGAATGAGCTTGAACGAGATGATGACGTGTGTTAGAGAAAATATCCCGGTAATTGCAGTCGTCTTCAATAATCAACAGTGGGGAGCGGAGAAGAAAAATCAGGTGAATTTAAGTTGATGATGATCCGAACTTCATAAAATAAATAAAATAGGTGTTAGTTACATATTTTACCGAAAATATATTTTGGTCTTGGTTGACCCTCTTAAGGTTATAATAATAATAATATTTTTTTTAAATCACAAGAAAATATAAAAGAAAACTGTTTTTCTTTAATGGGTTGTCAAGTGAAAAAAGGAAACTAACTCAGATCATGCTTTCTAAAAAAATGATATACAAATATTCACTTTTATGAAGGAAAATTATTATTCCTTGAGACTTGTTACTGTCATGAAGATTCAAAACAAACTGTTAAATACATGAGTAAGAAAGGAGTTGAGTTTTTGCCACAACCTCTGATTTTCTAATTTCTATATCTTTGTAATCCAATGTCATAGACCTTAGATATTTCAAACTATTAATACTTATAGATAAAATTTAACCTAAGTTTGAAATATCAAAGGTTTGTACTATCAGGTTGCAAAGATATTGGGATCAGAAGAAAATAAATTTTATAATTAAAAATTTGCTCCATTATTAAAAAGTACGTCCTCAAAGTATTATAAATTCTAAATGTACTCATTAAAAAACGATATTTTACAACAGCGATCAATTTTTCGATTGTCAGTGATCGAAATTCGTATTTAATTTTCAGGTTGATTTTTACAACAATCGTTTTGTTGGCACGAATATAGAAAATCCCAGCTTTGCTGAGCTGAGCAGAGTGATGGGAGCTGAAGGAATAAAGGTAATATTTCTTTAGTTTTATCATAAGAGGAAAACTCGTTTCTCATGCCTCAAACTCTAATCCCTTGATCTTTGAAACTTGATGTCGAAGACCTTAAAAATTTCCATAAAATTCAATAGCATTGAAACCCAGCTTTGCATGGAGTTATTCCTAAAAAATTCGACACATTCAACTTAGAATTACGAATCCATTTGAGGCAGATCAGACAAGGGGTTCATGGGTTATGATCGGACATACAAAGAAACAGAGATTACTACTTTATATAATTCATAACACTTATTATAAAAGTAATTTCTATTTTATCAAGTGCACAATATATCATTTATTTATACCTTTCAGCTAGATATTTATTATCTATAATAAATCCTTATCAGATAATATTTAATAAATATCTTCTAAATATTGTCTGGAAAAAGTCAGATTCTATAGGTCCGGGAATTCTACGAATGGTTTACGTAAAACTAACTTCAACAAAGTGCTTCCTGTTCGTAATGAAATATTTTCAGTTATTATTTGGCTTCTCATTCATATTATGATATTCATGTCGAAAAGTTGCTTTGTATTTAAAATGCAAAGTACACCAAAAAAGTTATAAATATCAAATACAATAAATCTACATTTAATGGGTGAAAATGAGTTCGTTAAGAATTCCTTTTAACAACACCTCTAATTTACTGTGGGTTGAGAATTTTGTTTAACATTCAGATTAAAACAATGATAATTTGTCGGGGCCATACTTTTCCTTCAAGTTTCTTATAATTTTCTTATAATAAGATACCCTCAACTTTGTCGGGAAATATCAACTCTAATCAAATAAAGAAATATTTTTTATCTTGAATGTAGGTTACTAAACCGGAGGAGATTGGATCGGCGTTGAAATCTCTGGTGAGTTCCGGTCGTCCCGGCGTACTGGAGATAATGGTCTCAAAAACACTGGCAGATCCATTCAGACGAGATGCTTTATCTAAACCTATTCGACACTTGGATAAATATAAAAACTATGTTTAAACGCTTCCCCCCCCCCACACCCTTATTCTCGGTGTAAAGGTAAACAATTAAGACAACCCCCTCCCCCCTCCCACTAATAAAAAAGACTTTATGTTATTAAAAGTTTTGGTGTGAATTGTTTTGAATAAATTTTAAATTGAAATAAATGTTCATTAATTTAAAATTACGCTCTAGTCATTTTCCGTAAGAAAATGAGAAGTCCAATCTCAAACTTTTATTTTTTAAAAGGGAGTGTTCAGGAAAAATGAGAGGGGGGTAAGGCTGATATCGGCAAAATACTCGTTTTTTAAGGACATCCTATACAAATAAATATATTCTGAAATTTCAACTATAATAAAATCGAATGCGTCGAATTGAATGGAAATCATAGCCCATAAGTTAACTTGGTCTTTTTCCAACATTTAAAGTTTTTAGGTTCAGATACCTTTCAAGAATCAAGGCACGTCAAATTAAAGCTAATTTCACGTTAGACAAAACTATTATATGTTTTCAATCATAACGCCTCTTAACTAAAATGGTGATTATTTCTGATATTTACTCCATGGTTTTCCTGCAGTAGAAATGCGCCAGACACCCTCAATGTAGAGAACCCACAATAGCAAGTAATCATTTATAAAAATGAATGATAAACATGGATGTATTAATTCATACTTGATCAGCCGAAGCTTTTAAGGGTTTAGTTTTTTTTAAATAAAGGTCACTCGAAACGTTTTCAGACCCTTTCAATAGAAAGTCACTTGAAGTATTTTTTTTTGTGTTTGGACACGGTCGCTTTGTTTTTTGATTTTTTGAAATTTTTTTAATCTATTTATACGTTGCAACGCACAATGCTACTTTGCTTTTTTTATTACAGTAATATTTCAATGTTTGAAATTGAGATTAGAAGATTACATGTAATCTTCTAATTATTTGTGATGTCACGATGAACCAGACAAAAATAGAAGGTCACATTTATGCAAAATTTCTGATACAACTTTGTGACCTCGTAGCTCCTATACTTGATATTATGCACAATTATGAGGAAAGCATTACATTTTAAAAATAAAAATAAACACTTCTCGTCAATAGCTCTGCAATGAGACGGAAATCGGAAATATGATTAAAAATATATAGGATTTTAATCTTACGCGAGCTTTACTTTAGTTTGGCATAATGTTCCCTAAAAACCGCTGTATACCCAAAATTACAACCCCATGTATTCTAGCTTGATATATTTTAGATTTGATTATTTGGTTTCTGTAGTTGTTTTTCGTAAAGAGCTAGGATATTCCACAGAACTATAAACAGAGGTCAAACGTAGGGACCTTTGCGTACACCATGGTTAGTAACAAAGAATAAGACTTTAGTGTTTATGAGACTTTATAGAGACGATTGTACAGTGTTTATGAGACTTTAGAGACGATTGTACAGTGTTTATGAGGCTTTAGAGACGATTTTACAGTGTTTATGAGACTTTAGAGACGATTGTACATTGTTTATGAGGCTTTAGAGACGATTGTTCAGTATTTATGAGACTTTATAGAGACGATTGTACAGTGTTTATGAGACTTTATAGAGACGATTGTACAGTGTTTATGAGACTTTAGAGGCAATTGAACGGTATTTATTAGACTTCAGAGACGATTGAACGGTATTTATTAGACTTCAGAGACGATTGTACGGTATTTATTAGACTTTAGACACGACTGTACGGTATTTATTAGACTTTAGAGACGATTGTTCGGTATTTATTAGACTTTAGAGACGATTGAACGGTATTTATTAGACTTTAGAGACGATTGAACGGTATTTATTAGACTTTAGAGACGATTGTACGGTATTTATTAGACTTTAGAGACGATTGAATGGTATTTATTAGACTTCAGAGACGATTGAACGGTATTTATTAGACTTCAGAGACGATTGTACGGTATTTATTAGACTTTAGAGACGATTGTAGCGTATTTATACGGTATGTTTCCTTATATTCACGATTCACTGGCACCCTGCAACTGTAATCTTGTTTCTCTCTTTGTCAAATCATTATAAAGAGTTATTAGTTTACTATATCTAAGGCCGAATTTAACCTTTGGATTGTCACATTTTAAGAGTTTTCGGTCGTCTTTACAGTCTCATTCTTTGTGGGTAACCCTGTATATAAGAAAAGACAATTGATTTGGTTATATATGTTTTACCCACAAAGGATGACTTTAGAGAGAATTGTACTAACTTTGTTTAGTCCGTTTGCTTGAATTTAGGTTCTGTGCTTAATCATTTAGTTAACCATCAAAATAATCAACTGAATGCAGAAACCAAAAATCAAGTTTCAAATCGTCATATTTTTAGAGTTTTGGGTCGTCTTTACAGTCTCATACATTGTGAGTAACCCTGTATAAGAGGAATACTTAACATTATTCTTCTCTCTAACTATAAAGATGAGTTGCGTGCAATTTACTTTATTTTGACATGATTTAACAATCAAAAGAAAAGAAAATTCTAAAATAAATAAGTAAATACAGAATTCCAACAAAATTAATCAATTTATTTTCGTTCTTTAATCTTGAGTAATAGTTTTCCGGAATTAATAATAAACCTAGAATCATAAATTACAATATACTAACAGTTATTACATGGGTTGGTCGTATTGTAACATAATTGTTATATAAATAAAAACAGTACATTTATCAAATTTAAATATATTTATTTAATGTCGTAAATGTGATTGAAAGTGAAGGCTTACTTACTATTAAACCATAGCATAAATAACTATAACAACATGTATTATTAACATGTATTTAGTCTGCACTTATAATAATAATTTTAGTTTTACTTTATCAGCTCAGATCAGCATTCATCCTACCCTATAAATGATTTTACAAATTTAGAAGTATAAAACCGCACCTTCAATTTATGAAATAAAAATTAATATTTTATTTGTTTACTGGAGTTTTAATCGTCTTAATGTTGTTTCACAGCTAAAAATTTTACTATTTAGCTGAAATAAGCCTTTTAACCCTATTCCCGCTGGGGGGGGGTCAATTTGACCCCCCCCCTGTAGTTTTTTTTTACATAACTCAAAAAGTATTGGTCTGAGGCTGTTGAAATTTTCTGACTTTTCTTACATACCCAAAGCCCTCCCTTTAGGCCTAAAACCGGGCTTTAATACTAACTGCCTGAGTCCTCAGGCACACTGCCTGAATGACTGCTTTTGCCTGTAGCAAACTAAATCTTTGTTTTGACCCACTTTCACTTGTCAGATTTTGATAAAATTTAGCTTTTTGGAAAGCCTATGACATAAGGAAACGGATTGCACAAGTTTTGCGAAAAAAAAATTGCAATTTTTTTGCAAAAAACCTGTCAAAGGAAATTTGCACATTTTTAGTTTTTTTTGATTAAAAATCAGGTTATTTAAAATTTTGCAAAAATTTTTGCATATTTGAAATGGCATGGTCAAGGGCTTTTCAAAAATGTATAATTTGTCATTTTTTGGACAAATTTTTTTTTGCAAACATTTTTACTATAAAACTGGATTTTGCGATAAAAAATTCAATTTTCGCAAATTTTTCAATTTTTTTTGCAGATTCTAAAAGTAGAGCACAAGAGCTTTCTAATGATGTATCATTTGTCATATTTGGACATAAAACATGGGATTTAGAGGGGGGGGGTCAAATTGACCCCCCCCCAGCGTATCCTGGTTTTCAAGTACCCCAGCGGGGATAGGGTTAAAGTAAAATGGGCCTGTTTTTTAAGTCTGAAAGTCGTCTTTTTATTCTACAGTTTGCTAGTTCTCACTGCAGTACATAAACACGTTAATCTCACCAGAGCCCAAAACTTAAGAAACCCGGGTTTTTAAATGGGGTCAGGCAGTTTTGTGGATGTTATTAAGCTAGAACAAAAACTTGGTGAATCTCAAAATGATTCAAAAGCCACGTGGAAAATTTTGAATGAATCGATTAATAGAAATCCATTTAAATCTTCTGAAATTTATGAGGTTAAAGTGCACAGTTCTTCAATAACCAAAGCTTCATAAATTGCCAATAGTTTTTACTGCACTTTCTTTTCCTCTATTGTAAATAATATAAGAGAAAAGATTCCTGCCTCTTCTATTCCTGCGGATAATTTTATTCCTGAATTTTGAAATGCTGAGTTTTTTTGCAATTTATTTCTAAATTAAAAATTTTTAACAAATTTTTAAAAAGGAGCAGTGAATTGTTTCTCTGACTTGTATCTTCTTTTTAGCTGATCTTCAGTTTTCAGTGCCGACCCCCCCCCCTTACACGTGCCCCTTCTGAGGGGGAGGGGTCTTAATACAAGATATTAGATATATTAGAGTGAATTTAGAGAATCCCTCGGTATGAATTTTGTTAAATACACTTTATAATGAATTAGGTGAATAAAAAACATCATTTGATTTATAGTTATAACGGAAAATCATCGTTTGTAAAGTGAAAGGCATAGAGTCTATGTGAAATGATCATTAGTCAATTTTGAGACCAGCCTTGTTAATAATTTGGTTTTCTTTTTATATTAATTTTAGATTTTCTATAAAATGATGTTCCAGGGTCCAAAAGGTTATATAGCATAAATATGTGAAGTACACCTGCAGTATGGAAACAGTATACAACAAAATGGCCGTTTTACACTTTTTTCTAGTAAATTCCCCTCTAATATATATATATGCCCTGGTGGGGTGAGTGGGAGAAGAAGGAAATATTGCTGACAGACCTAGGATTCTGTAGAAATGAGAGAAACCTGGAAAATGTATATTTACCTCCGAGGTTCCTAGGAAATAGGAATAAGCTTGTACGTTAACCCTCTCTCAATATTTTAGTTATACTACAGTGAAACCCCTCATAACGAATACATCGAAAGAATTCATCAAATGTCGTATTCTTCACTTTCTGATAATGGAATGTTGCAGATATTTAGTTTTTAAATTGAATGATTATATGGAACTCTTTAAAACTGTTCCCGCATATTCATGGCTATTTATTTATTTTCGCAAATACTGAAATTTACGTAATATAGTTTAAAACTCATTGAAAAATTGTCAAGACGACATTTGATAAATTCTTCCGATGTATTAGTTACTAAGGGTTTCACTGTACACATTTCGGAAAATGTTAAAAAATTTCGGCTTAGGACCATCAACCCTCATGCATCCAGGCCTGAGGCCACCATGTCAATCATTTCTGCTCTGCAGATCTGCATATCCAGAATCTGCAATTCACATTTAAACTTTTGTTTCCAGGACTTTATCACATGTGACTTAATTACCTATAATGGATTGGTCATCGTGCAGTTTCTTGGAAAAAAAAAAATAAAATCCGGTTTAACATTGGTTTGCATTGTGTTTGCTGAAACAACACTTACACCTTCTTATCTTTGACTGGGGAACTCAGCTTTGACTGAAAACTGTTTTCTCTATAAAAGCTTTTCTAGAACCAAGTTAAGAATATTCTCTTTGTTAAAGGGACCGTTCCATTATTTGGGTAATTTCAGGGTAAACTGAACAGCCTATACACTGTTGATTGAAAAAAGTCTTACTTTTCAAAGACAACTGTGGCCGGAGAAAAAAAACGATTTTTTTGTTCAGAATTTGAGCGGAAAGGGACGGCCCCTCTCTATATTCACTAATTCATGTTTTTTTCAGTATGTTGTGGATCAAAATAAATTTCGAATCGTTAATTGTAATTATGTCATAATTTTAAAATTTTTTTGTTTTTTAACTTTCTATTTCAAAAATAACACTATTTTATCGCATTAAAAATTATGTATTGCTATAAAAGCTGAATTAAACGCTGCATGAAAAATGAAAAGTTGCGCACATACGGGAACAAAATTGATAGGAAGGGGGGGGGGGGGTTACAAAAATCGTATACTATGAAAATACATTCTTTTTGAATTTCTCGGACTGCGAATGCAGCTGTTCTTCTTGAAAACAGGAAAACTGACAGACGTCTGACGTAATATTATTTTCTTGTGAAAAAATACTATCAGCTGATTTATTCAATTATTATTTCTATTATTTATTCAATTTATTCGCTTTATTCAATGATATATAAATAAAATAATGATATTTAAATAAATGCATTTTATTCACATCGAGCATGTTTTAATACGAAAAACGTAAATTTCTTGTTAACTCAAATATCAAAAGTTTTCTTTCATAATGCTGTTACTGAAAAAGATCAAATAGTGTCCATACCTTTCCGCTCAAATTCTGAACGAAAAGTCGGCTTTTCCTCAGGCCACATGTTATGATGTTGTCGTTGAAAAGTAAGACTATTACCAATCAACAGCGAATAGGCTGTTTAGTTTACCCTAAAATTACCCAAATAAGTGAACGGTCCCTTTAAACGAGTTCTCCAAACAGATTTTGGGTAAATTTTTCCAGATGTTCTCAGTGAACTATTATGCTTAAATTTGTTAGTTTTCTTTTGAAAAAGTATAAATCATTATCTTACTGACGTTGCAGCAAATTTTTTCTATCCCACTGTGTTTATGAAAAAACGATGTGAATAGAAAAATCAAGGTTTATCATCATTATTCATTAAGAATCAACATTCTCTTGTCTGATAGGAAGATATATAATTAGATGAAATTAATGAAGTTTGAAGAGAAAACTTTGATCTATAAGTAGGATCAATTCAGACTTAAGAGAGAGCAAGGTGATCAGGGGTGGGGCAGGACCTTCGCACCCCCCCCCCCCTGAGATTTTGAGGAAATAAATGTTTTGAATTTGATAAATCGTATGTGTACCCCTTTTTTAAGCTATTTGATTATTTAATGGAATTATAATATTAGAAGATATTTAGTAAATAATTGTATCATCAGTACGATATTTGTCTAGCTGGTTAAAAATAAATATAATATAACCAACGAGGTAAGTACGACGATATTGTGTTTTTGTTTTATTGGTGTTAATACGCGGCACACTGCACATCTTGAATAAAATTGCAACAACAAGTAAAATATAAAAAATAAATGTAGAAATTGATAAGAAACTAGACTTATGTTATAATATTGTTCCTATCTAACTTGTATACGTATAGTAATGTTCTTTAATCAATACTCATTAATCAAAATTGTAATAGTGTTCCTAATTTTGCATATTAAACTAGTAATTTCTTTTTGGTCTTAACTTGCTTTATGTTCCTTTTATTGTTCATATTCCTAACACTGTGTCCCATCCTAGACCCTAAATCCCTGTCCTAATTCACATGAATAGGAGCGGAAAAACGTCACACTGTGAATTTGTGGAACTTTGACTTTTAAGAACTTCCCAATTCCTAAACAATCTTTTTATTGTTCCTTAGATTATTTATTTCTGATTTCATTTATTGTTCTTTGTTCGTTCTTAGTGCATGTATCAAACTCCTGGTTTTTTATTGTTCCTGTTATAGTTTCCATTTTTATTTTTTTTTGTTCCTCAATCCTCTTTTGATGTTCCTAATCTAGTATTTTCTGTTTTGTTCCTAACTCACCCAACATTCGTGGTTTGGATTGTTCCTTTTTTACGAACCTATAATGTTCCCAGTTCTTTCTTTTTTGACCTTGTTCCAAAAATCCTAAATTGTATTTGCTTAGCTGACCTGTTGGCTTTGTTCCTTTTCTCAAGTAGGATATTTCTTCCTATCTATGACGGATGTTCTCTATTTAAATGTTAGCTTACTCAATGTTACTCTTCTTTCTTCTTTTTATTTCCATTGTAAAGTAACTCCTCAATCTTAATAAACTATAATGTGTGATATGTTAAAAATCTAGTTTTTTAGTTTTCAGTCATTATTTTTGACTCTTTTTGAGTATTTTAAGTCGAAAAAAAATGTTGGACTGTGGCGTGTTTTTGTTCATAAATCACGATTAATCTAGCACCCCCTCACTTAAATCCTGTATCCGCCCCTGAAGGTGATTAGCAAAAAACTTGAGAATTCTAACAAGTATTCTTTGATTAAAATGCATTCTTATGGGCGGATACAGGGGTGGACCATGAAGCAATAGCACACTTATAGAAAAGCATTGGTAGAAGCCAAGGAAAAGAATTCTCAGTTGGCTCAGTCCTAGATAATTCCTGTATCCGCCCCTGTCAGCATCCTTTCTGAAAAATCTAAAAACACGAAAAAATGTGTCTTTTATTGTGAAAGTTATTGAATTTCAAAATGATAGAAAGGAAATCAAATAAAAAACTTCTCTGCCTGCTTTGCCCAGAAGGCGTGGTGGATGGTACTCAAAAAATAATGATAATGATCTCTTTTTGTAATTATAAAGTGTAGACTTGTAAAGTATATTTCCAGTCCCTCCCTTTTATTTTCTCGTTTCCGACCATGTGCGATTATTCTCGTCAAGCAGTACACGCTACATACTTTGCAGTCTGTCTACAGTGTGCCCTGTCTTGTTCTGAGATGCCTCAGCAATTGATATACAGACAGTCAGTTCTAAGTAGCTGCGAAAGACTGTTATACAGACGGTTGAAACCAGAAACTAAATAGTTATACAGACAGTTTAAATATTTCCGAGGTTGATATACAGACAGGTTGCACGACTCCACTGCCTTTTAAACAAACGGCTTTCTCAGTGCAGCGATAGATATACTACCATATTTATATAACTAGTCGAGTTTCTTATATAATAACAAATTTGATAGATTTTCACTAGACAATCGTACTGTAAAGTGCTAATCAAGCAAAACTTGATAATTTGTAAACAAGAGATATATTCGCTATGCAAGGTCTTGGATATTATTTCTCTTTCAACCCTCTGTCCCCTCTCTCTCTCTCTCTCTCTTTCTCTCTGTAAGTCTCTAAATTGTCAGTCTCAGTAAAGTCCACGAAGTGCAAGTTTACTGTGTACTAAGCTATTGATGTAGACTAGGCAGGCCGGTACGTAGACTACTAAAGTGCTAAACAAATGCGTATCTTTACGAGATGTAAGTATTGGTAATTTTCTAAAACACGATTTTTGGACCCCCCCTCCAGGGGCGTAAATAAGGATTCTGTAGGGGGGTAAATTTTTTTAATGTGGTTTTTAGTTGGGTTTGATATGCATTTTCCACTCATTTCTGGCATTCACAAACTCCGGCAAATAATTAGGCAATTCATTTCCTACCTTTCAGCTTTCACCTTGTTTTATATCCTTCATTATAGTCATTAATTTTACATTAACTACAAAGATCTTTAAAAAACTGAATTTATTTTAAGTAACATAAAAAATAGTTTTACTCTAAGAGGAAAAAGATGTTACTTTTTTAATCTTTAGAAAAGCTACTCTGCAAAACTTTGAAAAAATATTGTCTTTGTTTATATTTCACTATCAGAATAGTGTGAAA